GCAATTTTCTTGTTTGGTGATTTCTGATATTGGTGTGAGGACAATAATGGCTTCATACAATGAATTGGGAGTGTCTATTACATGTTTTGAGATTATTTGTGAAGAATTCATATTAGTTCATATTAATTAAACATTTGTTACAATTTATCTTGGGCATTTTTAAATTATGAGAAGTATCTATCCTTCCCCCACTATTTGGATTACTTATCCAGTTTCTACTTCTTATAAATCTATTCAAATTTATTTCTTCCCTAATTAGTATTGATAATTTGTATCTGTTTAGGAATTTGTCCACTTTATTTAAATTATCTGACTTTAATATGTGAGTCGTCATTTCTTTTTCTCCTTCAGCTGAATGTTGGTTGATCTTCAATCTGATAAACTTTTAGTTTTACTTTCTTGTTGAGGATTCTTAGAACTGGAGCAGCAAGTTGATATTTGTTGACTGATTTTACTCAAGGCTCAGTTGCCCTGGATTAAGCATAAATGCTCATGTTATGGGAAACTATAGTCTTTACAGAGACCTCATAATTGAGCCCTGAATAGACCTCATATTGACTTAGGGACTGAGTTTGGACAACCCATGTACAGTACAATGAGTTCTCAACTGATGAAGGAGTTCCATTCTGGGAAAATGTTCATAAGTCAGATTTATTTGCAAGTCCAACAGAATGAGTCTTGTATACTTTTGACACAAATATACAGCATATATTGCTTTACACTGCTTAGTAGTCCTCTATACATCACCACTGCTTTTCCTCTTGCTTCTGGACATCCTGTGATTGAACACAGTACTAAGAAACACTAACATACAGTAAGCACGCAACAGTACAATTATGACAATGTTCGGCAGCCATAAGTTGCTTCTGCAATGCATTCACATCTATGAATGTGACATGAGGTCTGTTCATATCTGTGAAAATTTCCCACGTGAATGTTTATGAGCCAGGGATTTACTATATTGCCATAGGATAGGAAGTCTTAAATGGGGCTCTGAGATTCAGGTTGACTGGGTATGGAAGTATGATTACAGAAGGAAGGTGAAAGATAATATTTTTCTCAAACTGAGCTTGTAAATGAAAATTCTAAAATAAACACTAAGAAGACAGCCAGTAAAAAAAAAAAAAAAAGAAAGAAAAAGAAAAAATAGGGATGTAAGTTTATTCCATATAAAACTAAAATATAGGGCAGTTTCAAAGACTTTAAACACTTTTCTCTGGTAAGACAAATGAAATAGTAATTTTCTTGAAAAGAACAGAAAATTATTGACAGAAAAAGCAGCCTGAAAGAAAGTTAAGTAGGTATGAGAAAGAACTAATTAGAAATTCTTTAATTAAAAAATAATATAGACATCTCAATCCCAGTAAAACTCAGGAGAAATTAAAAAATTAAAAAAGAATACTGACTCACCCCACCAAAAGCAAAGATTAAGGGAAATGAGTCTCTGTGAGACATGCAGGATAGACTGAAATCCTTCAATACATCTAGGAGTTTCAGATAGTCTGCTGACTAAAGATTGAATGGTATGTAACTTCATTTAATGATAATTCAGGTAACGGCTTCAGTGGAGTACCGCTTCACAAAAGAAGTGAAGAAATTTAGCAGTTTTGGGTTAAATTTGAACAGAGTTTGAGAGCGATTGAATTGAGATGGAATCTTAGAATATCTGAGAACTAGTGCTTTTTAAACTTCTTTTGTTTTTGTTTTTTGAGGTGTGTGTGTGTCCGTGTGTATTTTGGTGTTAAGTTTTGAACCTAGCCCCTTGTATGTGCTAAGCATATACTTTACCACTGGTTTATACAATCAAGAACTGATGCTTGTGGGATTTATCTCAGATATACCAGGTAAAAAATAAGGACAGTTGAGTGGAAAGACTCCTTAGATTTTGAGATGACTGTCATTGGTAAATAATTTTGATATACTTTGCTTTTGATTGGGCTAGGCTCTATACTGTAAATTGTTATTTAGCAGCTCCTTTTCAAGTGGTAGTGAACATTTCTTTGTGCTGTTTACCAACATTTATGTTTCTCTTAAAATTTCAAATATACTCTATCCTGTGAAATTTTGCACTATTTGCTTGTAAATTTATTTCAGAAATTAACTGTGCAAAGCTAAGGGTGGATTTGTATAGCTGTTAGCTTAAAGTTAACATCCATTCAAAGGATGACCTATCTGTATTCCCCAGAGGATTTTCAGCAAGAGAGGAAACTTGGATAGGATGATTTCTTAAGACCAAGCAGACTATTAGTATACTACCAGTACTAAAATATGGAGTTTATTTTCAAGTCAATTCCTGACTTTTATGCAAGTATCAGTTATTAATATTACAATAGAAAATTAAACATTCCTTGTCACATCTGTTATTATGATGGTTTCTAGTGTAACACCAGGTAGAGAGTTAGTGAAGACTGTGGTCAGAGTCTATATAATTCTACAGTGCTAAGATGCAAAGTGTATATTGTTTAGCTTTCACAATTTGCCGGTGTTTATTTTCAGATACAGGTTCTTTATTATGTAATATAATATTATTCAGCAGATTTCCTTTTTTGCAGTACTGGGGATTGAACCTTGGGGTCATCACTCAGATCTATCCATAGTTCTTTGTAATTTTTAAAAACGTTGAGACAGCCAAGTCAGTAAATGGTCCATGCTGGGGTCAAACACGTAATCCTTGTGCCGTAGCCTCCCAGAGTGCTGGGATCACAGGTATATGCTAACAGATTCACTTGTTAAAGCTTTTATTTTGAAGTAATTATACATATCTAAGAGATCATGAAAATTTGAGTGGAGATCCCCTGTTTGCTCTTCATCCAATTTCTTTTAATAGTAACATCTCTCTTAGCAATAGTATATTATTCATACAAGGCAGTTAACATTGGCAAAATGAGACAACCACAGAGTTTATTCAGATTTCACTGATTTTACATGTGCTGATTCTGTGTGTGTGTGCGTATATGTAGTTCTGTTCAATTTTGTCATACGTAGATGTGTTTAATCTGTACTGTCAGAAATTCTCAATTATAATTTCTTATTGTATATATAATTCATAAATGGTAATATTTTGAAGTTTTTTTAAAAAAATGAAGCACAGGAGCTGGGGATATAGCTCAGTGGCATAAGTGCCTGCCTGGCAAGTGCAAGTTTAATCCCTGTACCAAAAATCAACCAATCAAACAAACAAACAAACAGACAAAAATGAAGCTCAGAAGACTAGGTTGTGAGAAAAAAGGAACCCTTCTCCACTGCTGGTGGGATTATAAATTGGTACAACTACTACAGAAATCAGTAGGAGATTCCTCAAAAAACTAAAATTAGAGATTCTATTGACCCAGTTATTGTCCTTTTAGGTTTCTTCTGAAAGAGTTAAAAGCATTATATCTTAGTGATACTTGCATATCCATGTTTATAACAGTACAATTTATACTAGCTAAATCTTTGAACATCCCATATGCCTGTCAAATAGATGAATACATAAAGAAATTGTGATATTTATATACAATGGAATACTACTCTTCCATAAAAGATAATTTTAAAGCTGGGCATATTCAGTGGTGGCATACACCTGAAATCCCAGCACTAGAGAGGTGGAGGCAGGAGGATTGTTGGGAGTTCAAGACCAGCCTGGGCTACAAAGTGAGCTGAAGGCCAGCCTGAATTGCACAGTGAGACTGTCTCACAAAGAACCCCTACCCCCCAAAAAGGATAAACTTGAGTCATTTGTAGGAAAATGGATGCACCTCAAGACCATAATCTTACGTGAAATAAATCAAACACAAGTTTAAATACTGTATTGTTTCTCCTGTGTGAGAAACCCAAAGGGTAAATTAGGCACATAAAGGAGGATAGATAATGGGAAGTAGGAAGAGCATGTTCAAATGCAAAGGGGACAAGGAAATTGGGAGGGGGGGAAAGAAAGGAAGGGAAGAGGGAAAAAAAGAGAATGGAAGGAAAAGTTGGAAACAAAACTTAGTAAGATGAAGAAGGATTGAAGGGAGGGGAGGAGAATGGGAAAAAAAGAAGATATGTACTGGTACAGAGTCTCTATGATGAATATAATCAGTATGTATTTAAGTATGGACTAATCAAAAAAATAAAGTTAAAAATTTTTTAAAAGCACAGAAGAGAATGTATTACAAAAGATGTGTACTAATTCCCCATGATGAATGTATTTCTTATGTATTGCAAATAAGTAGTAAGTTCTAATTAAAAAACCTCAAAGAACTAGTGTAATAGAATTTGTTTTTATTTTTTTCCCTCCCTCCTCTAGAATTTGTTTTTAAATATAGATTTCCATTTCAAGTTTCTTCTGTACGTATTTTGGAAAAAATAATTTTGCATTTAAATACAAATGAATGCTTAAATTTTTTATTGTCCTCTCATGCTATCTTTTTGAATATATAAAAATGAATGGTTCAGTATTTATGAATTTTGTACAAAGGCTTTGTCTTTTACCACTTTTTAAACCCACTTTATTGAAATGTGACATGTAAAAAGCTGTACATATTTAATGTATGCCCCTGTATTTACCATCAACATGATATATTCACCATCTGCCAGAGTTTCTTTGTACCTCATTATAATGATGATTATTATTGAACACTTGATGTAAGATCTACTGTCTTAGAAAATTTCAAGTGTACAATGCTGTGCCGTTGGCTCTTGGTACTATGTATATATAAGATCTCCAGTATCTTTCATAGCTGAGTATGGAGTTTTATAACAAATACTATGTATGCCATACAGTGTTGGAATGATAATAAGTCAGACTTTGAGGTCCTACATTGATCATTTTCATCTCAATTCTTGACCTTTTCCAGCAACTTACTATTTCTGTTGGTTGGGGGCAGTAATAGTGATGGTGGAATAAGGATGATAATAGTTGTCTTTATAGTGTTGTGCATGCTGTGTGGTGAGAACACTTGATTTACAACATGCTATTATAATTTATTTTTCATCGTGTTTTATTTTCATACCTGTGCTTATCACACTGAATGAGACAGCTACTAGCCGGGATGATAGCAGAGCCTGCTTTTCTCTCTGAGTATACTATATTTGCTTTGGATTCCTCCAAACAGCCTAAAACACAGAACGATACTGTGGTGAGTCCTTCCACCGCTTCCTGCATTCCCTTTGTGGGAAAGCAAAGTAATTTGGCAATTTTAGAAGCAAATCTCATGTTGCTTGTCATTTAACCTTCTCTTAAAGAATCTTCAGTGTCCTGTTGCTAACCCTGCTCTAAAAAATCAGAGAGTAAATTGCTGAGTTCTGGTGGCTGGTGTGCTTCCTGGTAGTTTTATAACAGTACAAAAATAATACTTTTCACTAATATACTGAAGGCTGCCTTCATTTGATCTAAATACTTAAGATTTTTTTCCTCAGATGTTTGCTCATTAACTAATAAAAGGTGTGGATTGCTAGAATTTTTGTTTTCCTTTGGTGGGAGATCACATTTTGAGATGATCCACGTTTTTACAGAAAAAAAAAAAGTTCTTTTTTGTGTAAGTTCATCAACAAACATTAACTAGATAGGTTCTACTGTTACATAGGTTTATGTTATTTTGCAATTACCTGTAACAAATAGCTATATCTTATTTTATAATTACCAGTTTTCTGAGTATTAAACATCTGAAAGGAAATAATCTAATTTTTTTAACTGAATTCACATAGTTTTTAACTTTGTGTATAATTTTGGGATAGTAAACACTTTCCTGTTGAAGTATCAAGTAAAATTATAATTTAGCAAATTAACATTTAGAAATACTTGTCCAATAACGATAGCTTTTAGTGTTAGGTTAGATGCTGATCTTACTGGAGTTGTAGTTGTTCTAAACAATGAGAATTGATTTCACTTGTGTTAGGTAGCAGGTGATAAATAAAAGTAGAACATTTATATACTTAAACTGTGTATCCAGGAAAGACTTGGTGTGCTATGACTAGCATCTTCATTTCTATTCTATACTTGGTTTGGGAGATGCAAATTATAAGAGCGAAAATGGGATACTTAGTGATATTTCTGAGCAACTTATTGCTAGTTGGTACTGGCTATAAATAATACCTCACTGTCTTCAAAACTAATTTAGTTGTGTCAGAACTTATCAATGTTGAGCCTGGGATTTAGCTCAGCCTCAAAAAGCTCCTGCCTGGCAAGTGTGAGATTGTAAGTTTGATCTCCAGAACCAAAACAAAAATAAAAACAAGCAAACAAGACCTTATCAGTGTTATGTTTTACACTTCATAGGAGCAAGAGATACTTTTTAAAAAGCTGCTTATACACTTTAGCTCATATGTATAGAACATAAAAATTATTTGTATGAAATACTGATCCTATTGTAAAAAATGCTAGTATGCAGAAGTGGAAGCTTTAGAACTATTTAAAAATTGAGTGAATTAAAAGTCTTATTTAATCTTTGTATTCTGTTAAAAACTTATTTCTCTCCATTGTACAAAGAGAAGCCACCATCATCATCATAATTTACCAAGGGTCAGTTCTGAGTTCACCAGATGCTATCTTTATTTCAGTTTTTAATTTTTTTTGTCTTTTTCTTTTTTATCGGTACCAGGGATCGAACTCACGACTGCCTGCTTGCAAGGCAGGCGCTTATGCCACTGAGCTAAATCCCCAGCCCTTATTTCAGTTTTTTTTTTTTTAAATACAGCTTTTTAACTCGAATTCCAAAAATTGCTGTATTCTAGTCAGTAAAGTGGTAGAAATAATAGTAGAAATGCCAGGAGTGGTGGTACATAACCTGTAACCTTGGCATTCTGACAGACCGAGGCACAAAGATTGTAACCTAAAACCCAATCTGGATAATTTCGCTAAATTCTGTCTCAAATTATAAACAGATTGGAGATGTAGCTCAGTGGCAAGATCCTGGGTTCAATCTCTTAATGCTACCTCCTCCCCCAAAACTTAATAGAATGATTAAAAAAGTATAATTGGAAACATATTTGCAGGGAACTTGTATGCTTTTAAATAAATAAACTTTAAAGGGTTTCTTGCTGTTGTCAAATTTCTTCCAGTATAAGGTATTGATGACTGAGAATTCACGTGTTGAACTAGTTCTTTAGACTGCTTTCTGAGAAAAGGCCTTTGAGGAAGGAAGTGACTGCACAATATTTAACATGCATTTATTGAGAACTTACTACTAGAAAGGCAAAATGGGGGCTGGGGATTTAGCTCAGCGGCATAAGCACCTGCCTTGTAAGCAGGCAGTCGTGAGTTTGATCCCCGGTACCGATAAAAAAAAAAAAAAAAAAAGAAAGGCAAAATGTTAGGTCCTGGGCAGCAAGCTGAAAATACATGGGTCTGTCTACTAAGAATTTATAGTTTAATATGGAAACTAAGATGTCAACATGTCTTGATATATAGGTACAGGGAATGTATTGCCAGTGAGGTGTATGCAGCTTCACAAATGAAAAGCTTATTAGAGTTGAAAATGAAAAAGAATTTACCCAGAAGTGAAGGCATTATTAATAGAATCTTAAATTGATTCTAGAGAGTCCAAATTTAAATGTACATGGAATATTAGTACTTCTCTTGCATTTATTTAGATGTATGTCTTGCATTTATTTAGATTGCTGATATAATACATAAATTAAAATATGTATTGGTGAGTTGAGAAATTTTTAAATACTGTGCTGTGTATGTTTGGTAGGGTGATACTGTAATCAAATATAGAGAAGCTTTCTTACATGGATTATAATCGTGTGTCAATTCAGATACTTAAGAGTGTAGACCCTTTGCCAGTCTTCCTTCTAACTTATTCTAATGGGCCCTTTCATTTTCTTTTTTCTTTTGTTTTTCTTTTTTGTTTTTTGAAATAGGGTCTGGTTATGTACTCCAGGCTGGCCTGGAACTTGCTGTATAGACCAGGTTGGTTTGAACTTGCTGTGGTGCTCCTGCCTCAAGCTTCCCAAATGCAGGGATTACAGACATGCAGATCATGTTTGGCCCTTTCTTTGTAATTTAACCAGAGCTTCTCAGTATATTGACTGGCTAACAGAATTGTTGGTCTCTGTAAAGTTTATTTATTTTAATTTATCTTACTTTATTTTTATATTTTGGTACTGGGAATCAAACTCAGTCTCTTGCACTTGGCAGGCAGGCACTGTGCTCCTGAGCTATATCCATGGCCCATATTTTGTATTTTATAGTATGTAGTGTAGAACTTTTTAGGTTCAGAAGTCATTCACAGTGATGCCTGCAACTTGTAATTTTTTGAAATGGCAGTGCATAGGAGAGTAGTTAATTTCCATGTTCTCCCAACCTTTCTTCTCTGTGTAACTTTAAGGAAGCGTTGGACTGATAAAATTTGGTAACATTTAGAGGAAAGAGAAAATACGTAAAGTTTTTTTTATTAATAAGAAGTTACATACATTACCAAAATAAAAACAGTAGAAATGCTATGAAAATTCTCTCCTTCCACCTCATATCCATTACCTGGTACTCAACAGTTAATGACTCATTGCCATCCTGTTTTACTTATTACCACTAAACTTGCACACTTCCCTAACCACACCAGTGCCACCCACCCTACATGTGCAGCCCAACTACCTTTCACTATTTGGAGCAAAGAAATCCTATTCTAACTGTAAATGTTTTGGAATATATCTCTGAAACATAAAGATGAAAGTATATAGCAGAGTATTTATTTCACCTAAAAATTAATTTCCTATTATTAAATGCCTAATATATGTTTAAAAATTTGAGATCATGTTTGCCAAGCTGAATGTCTTCTCCACATATATTTAAGACCAGTTAGGTCAGATATATAAATTTTCTTGGTCAGCTATAGAGGTAGGAAGTAATGTACTTTTTAACTGCCAAGTTCTTGAAACAGTGGTTAGTGTTGGCTTTGGTAGTTTAGCTTAAACCCAGGAAGCTGTTTTAGTATGAAATAGTTCAAAAGTGCTAACAAATTATAGTTAGACACTACATTAGGAATGCAGTTAAAATTTTTGAATGTCAAAGAATCACATATGTTATGAAATTTATATGATGGAATCAGAATGTTGGTTAGCTTGGAGCATTTGTCATAGCAACAGAACAAAAACAAAAAGCTATTATACATGGAAGAAGTTTTTAATTAAAACTTTATGAAAGTGATTGTAATTCATTTAGATTGCTGGCTTCAAGTGAATGAGGCATTTCCATTTCTTATCAAGATATTTTTAAATTTGAATATGATTGTAGTGAGCAATTGACATTATTTCTTTTTCTGGATGGTTCTGTTTGAGTGAATTTTGCTAATTCAATCCTTGTTACTGATTTTTATTGTGAGGAAAAAACTGGGAACATAATGGGAAAAGGTATGTGATAAGCTTGAATAAAATTTATTGCATACTAACGTTTGTCATTTAGCAAAATGAATTTTCTAAAATACTTACCATATTAGTTTTGTCTTGCATGAAAATATTCTAATTAATGAATAATTACTAATTTCGCTTACTGTATAAGTGGTTTAATAGGTCTTGGTACTTACACTTTGTTCTTAACAGTTTGAAACCTTACTTTTCTGTTCCTTTTATATTTCTTTCTTAGAATGCATCTACTCCTGCCACAAAATCTCCCAACAGTGTTAATGGAAGTGAACCAGCCACGCCTCAGGTATGTTACTGATGTTAATATTTTTTAAAAAGTCATTTCAGAGTGTTGGACAGTCTATACTAATTATTAATATGTGATTATACTGAAACAATGAGGCCCAAACATTGATTCAATGTATATGTAAGTAAAGGTTTGTTTGTAGTTTCTTGAGGAAGAGTTTTTCTTGTAAGCAAGATTCCAGTATCTTCATTTTAAAAATTAATGGCAGTGTTGTGAAAACTTTGAAAAAACAAAATCTGATTTTATAGTTGTAGAGGATTATGGAGCTAGCCTTATGGAGAGATGGTAAATTGTATAATATGGAAGAAGAGTGTGAAGGAAATGACATTTTTTAAAAAAGCATATTCTAATGCAGAGTATTTTACTGTTGGAAAAATTAAGATTAATCATGATTTTTTAAAAAAATTACATGAACAAGTCAGGCGTGGTAGCTCACGCCTATAATCCCAGCACTCGGGAGCCTGAGGCAGGAGGATCATTGTGAGTTCCAGACCAGCCTGTGCTACAAAGTGAGCTCACGGCCAGCCTGACTTGCGTAGTGAGATCCTGTCTCAAAAAAAAAAAAAAAAATTAAATGGACAAAGAATCAACAACTGGGACTAACTAAACGTATTAAAAAGCATTTGCACATCAGAAGAAATCATGAACAGAATGAATATAGATTGGGAAAAATTTTTAGCCAATTGTCCTTCAAAGGACTTCCATGTACAACACACAAAGAATTAGGAAAAAAATCAGATGCTCCAGATTGAAAGACCTCGTCTAGAAGTTAGTATCTGAGATGAGTACACACTTCTCAGATGAAGCAATACCAATGGCAAAGTAAATATATAAAAAAAAGTTCAACATCAATGGTTCTGAGATGCAAATTAATACAACACAGATTCCATCTTACAGTGGTGTTTTTTTTTTTTTTTTTTTTTTTTTTTTTTGGTCTTTTTCATTTTTATCAGTACCAGGGATCAAACTCACGACTGCCTGCTTGCAAGGCAGGCGCTTATGCCGCTGAGCTAAATCCCCAGCCCCTAGATTCCATCTTACTAGAGAAACAATGGATATCATCAAAAAAATCAACCAGTAGCAAATGCTAGATGGGCTGTGGGGAAAAAGGAACCCTTCTGCACTGCTAATGGGAGTGCAGACTGGTGAAACCACTGTGGATGTCAGTATAGAGACTCCTCATAAAGCTAGGATTAGAGATCCCATTTGACCCATGTATTCCTCTTCTGAATATTCTTCCAGAAGAATTTAAAACATCATACTACAGTGATCCATGTGCACCCATGTTTATAGCGGCACAATTTGTAATAACTAAATCCAGGAAACAACCCAAATACCCATCAACCAAAGAAAGGATAAAAAAGATGACATATTTTTATACAGTGGAGTACTACTCAGCAATTAAAAAGGATAACCAGAGCCTTATAGATAAATGGATGCAACTTGAGACCATACTCATTAGTGAAATAAATCAGACTCACATGTGTAAATATCAATGCTGTCTCCCTGGTCTGAGAAATTGAAAGAGTAAGTAAAGTCTAAAATCTACAGTGGATATTGTGAAATGGGAAGAAATTATTAAATAGGAAAAAGGAACCAGGATGTGGGAAAAGGAAAAGGAAGGAAGGGAAAAGAGAAAAAAATGGACGTTATACTGTTAATGTCTCTTAGTTCTGTAAAAGGAAGGTTTACACTAATACTGTTTGGAGAATTTTTATCCCCATAACTTTTACTCTGAATAACTACTTTAAAGATAGTAATATGCAATGTATTCACTATTGTTAGTCTGCTATCATCTCTCATGAAATTTTGTTTTACCTTTTTTCCATTAAAAAAACGTGAATTCCAAAGGTTAGCGCTGAAAAAAAAGAAAGAAAGAAAATTATGTGGAAAGTGAGACTCAAGTGACAGTTTTCAGACTCCTTCCAAAAAAGAAAATCATAATGATAGTAGTATCTGTGGTAAATATGTTTACTTTGGGTATAGTGTTGAGTATTATCAGTAAAGGTTAAGGTTCAGCTGAACAGATGTCCATTAAGTACCTAATTTATAGAAGCAGCGTAGTGGAGATGCAGCCCGTGCATCCCGGCCAGCGTCGGAAGGCTTGCTTATTGCAGGTACCTAGCATGGGCAGGCAGATGCAGCCACATATGGCCCATGTGCCCACAGGCCACCATTGGAGACCCTTGCTTCCTTTGGGCAGCCAGCATTCATTGGGAGAATCAGACAACTGTGTGCCTGCTGCCATCAGGGGAGTCCTGGTCCTGACATGTATGCTGAGAAGAAGCAGTCCTGCCCCTCTTCATCCCTGACCATCAGGGAAGCCTCAGTGTAGCTGCATGGGCCTGGAGAAGCCCACTTCATGTCCTGCTACCTCCCTGGGAACCTGAATGCAGAGAAAACCAGGTGCTTGGCCCATTCTACACTGTGGACAGGCAGCCAGCATGGAAAGTGTCTGGATCCCACAACCAGCTTGTTAGGAGGAACCCAGAAGAACATGAAGACAAAGAAGCAAAAGGCAATCTCAGACGCCCAGCCCACACAGAGCAAGTCTGGGAGATACAGTCAGGGAAGAAAATGGAAGACACATACCTGAAATCTCTGAGAGGATAGCAACTGAAGTAAAGAAATAACTTCATGAGACTGTAAAAGTAACCAGATCAGAAATACTGTCTCGGGTAAAAGAAGAAATCACAAACATACTGAAAGAATTGCTGAGCATATCTAAAGAAGACATAGATAAAAAAGAGGAGCATAGGAAAATGATGGAAACCTTGAATGAATAACATAGGAAAGAATTACAATACATGAAACAGATTCAAAGAGATATCCAGGAAATTTAAAAAAGTTGATTAAAAGCTGGCAAAACCGCCTGAAAGAGAGTGAAGATAGATTTCAGACCTTGAACACAGGATCACAGCTAGCCATTGTGAAAGCAAAGATCTCTTTAAAATAACAAGAAACTAGGAAATAACAATTCAACACCTGAAGATACAAAGAAAAATAATTTAAGAGTGATGTGTAACAGCAAAAAGGCAGGGTCAACACAAATGAAATAAAAAAACTATTTACAGAAGCATTTGCAGACAACTTCCCAAACATGGGGAAAGGATCTGGTATACAAATTAGCAAGGCATGTAGAACTCCGGCTAGCTATAAGCAAAATAAATCTATATCCATACATACAATAATTAAGATCCCAGGGCCGGGAATTTAGCTCAGCGGCACAAGCACCTTCCTGGCAAATGCGAGGTCATTAGCTTGATCCCTGGTACAAAAAAAAAAAAAAGATCCCAGAAGCATAAGAACAGAATATTAAAAGCTGTTAGAGAAAAGAAACAGATTACCTATAATGGAAAATCCATCAGAATTATGGCACACTTGTAACATAAACCATCAAATCAAGAATAGTTTGAAGTGTTTCAAATCCTGAAAGAAAACAACTTCTAACTCAGATTGATATACCCTGCAAAACTATCTTTCAAAATTGAAGGAAAAATAAAATACTTTCAAGATAAAGAACAACTGAAGGAATTTATGACCACCAAACCAATCCTACAGAGAATGCTGGATATTTTAGAGAGAGATAAAGCTGACCATGGTTCCAGGAACAGCAGCAGAGGACGATCGCCAAACAAGACAGGCAACTGAATGAAGGGGAAAAGTGGAGGGCCAACAGCAGGACAATAGCAGGGCAGAGATGAACCAGTGCATGCCAGCGGTGAACATTAATGTAGATGGTCTCAATTCGGCAATAAAAAGAAACACAAGGAGAGTGGGTCAAGAAGTAATATCTATCAATATACTGTGTACAAGAAACACACTTAACTTTTGAAAGGAAGTTCATAGACTGAAAATTAAGGAGAGAAAACAATTGTTCCACATGACAGGAGACCAGGAAAAAGCAAGGGTATCTTGTCCATCAACCACAGAATGATAAGAAAGATACAGTATTTTCATACAATGGAAAGCTACTCAGCTATAAAGTAGGATAATCTTGAGGCTCTTGGTAACATCTAGGTAAACAGATGTAACTGGAAATCATGCTCATGTATGAAATGGTTTGGACTCATGGATGAATGCCAGTTATCTCCCTAGCGTAAAAAACTGAAGGAGTTAGTGGGATCCAAAAAGCACAATAGATATTATGAAAGTGATAGGGGAGGAAACGCCTAGAGAGGGAAAGTGGTGACCGCTGTTAATTTCCTATTATCTTATTTTGAATTCTTGTATTGTTTTCATAATTTCATTAAGTTTGGTTTTATTCTGTTTTGTTTTGTTTTACTGTTTCTGATGATATAGGCAGCTATTTTGAAGGTAATGGGATGTATTAGAGTAACCATGGTTGATTTACTATTATCTTGTTTTGAAGTCTTATAATGCTTTCATTCTTGTGTTTTGATTGATTTTATTCTGTTTTATTTTGCTTGATTTTATTATGTGGGGTGCTATAGATAGCTATTTTGTTTTTATTTATTTATTTATTTTTGGCACCAGGGATCAAACTCATAACCCCATGTTTACCAGGCAGGTGCTTATGTCCCTGAGCTAAATCCCCACACTATAGACAGCTGTTTTAAAGAAAATGAGACATTATGGTAGCCATTATTTATTTCTACCTATCATCTTGTTTTGAAAGTCCTTTTTTTTTTTTTTTGGTCTTTTTTCATTTTTATCGGTACCGGGGATGGAACTCACAACTGCCTGCTTGCAGGTCCTGTCATGCTTTCGTTCTTTTTTTGATTAGTTTGCTTTATATTTTTAAAAATTGCTTAATTTTATTGTGTAGGAAGGTATGGCAGCTAATTTGAAGAAAACAAGAGACATTATGGTAGCCAATGTTGATTTCCTATTGTCTTGAAGTTCTTTATTGCTTGAATTGTTCAGTTCTGATTTGCTTTATTCTGTTTTGTTTTATTCTCTTTTAAATAAAAAAAGCAATGTGGCAAGGATACAGAAAATATATATAAAGTGTTCTAAGAGCATAAAATCTGGGGTAAGGGAATGTATACAGCAGACATCGTGATAGGAAGGCTCACTGAGGACTGCTAACGTAATTTCAACTCGTTCAATTCTCATAAGTAGTATTATGGTAATGCCATTGTTCTCATTGTACAGATGGACTCGTCTCAAAGGGGCTCCTCTCGACTTTATTGTTTTCCCTCTTACCTTCCCTATCTGTGCCAGTTGCTTCACCCCAGAAAGACCAATTGGTCTGTAGAAATTACATCTCCATTCTAGGAAGGAGAGTAGGCGAAAGACAACAATAAAAGGTGCAGTCTGTTAGGAAAATGGTAACTGTTCCAAAAGTTTGTGTCCTGTAGATTTTCTTTTAAAGTGTGTAATATCACACTTAGATGGCCAAAAGTATTTGAAAAGAATTAATTTAAAAAACCTGCTGAAAATGTAGCATACAGAAAACTTTATTTTATAAATTTTCTTTAGAAACAAAAATTACTAGGACCCTTGGAGCTCTTGTGGTCCCTTCTACTCCTACCCCTCAACTCCAAGGGTAACCACTATTCTGGCTTATAACATTGCAGGTTAATTTTGCCATTATTTGGATTTCATGTAAATGGAATTAAAAGTGGATACTCTTTCGTCTAGCTTCTTTTGCTCAATAGTGTATAAGAATTATCTGTATTGTTGCTTATGGTATAAATCATTTTCATTGCTGTCTAGTATTCCATTGGTGAATGGGATTCTTGTCTAGTATTCTATTGGTGAACAGACTGCCTTTGAAAAAATTCCATTTGTGGAATTAATGATAGTCTTGAGTTTGGCGTTATTTTTGACTAATGCTGCTGTGAACATTTTAGTTGTCTTTTGTGAACTGACCACATGCGTACACATTTCCATTGGTGTATAGTTGGAATGGTATATACTGGTTCAGAGACGATACTTGTGTTTAGTTTTTTTTTTTTTTTTTTTTTTTTTTTTTTTTTTTTTGGTACTGGGGATTGAACTCATGACCTAGCGCTTGCCAGGCAAGTGCTTGTGCTACTGAGCTAAACCCCTAGTCCTGTTGAGTTTTAATATAAACTGACAAATTATTCTTCAGCAGGAGTTGCACATTTCCATCAATGCTGTATTTTCTGTAGTTTAAGTTTTAGTCACTTTGATGGATGCAAAATGTTACTTCATTATGGCTTTAATTTGTAAAAGCTGAATACTTTTACCAGGTCATATTGTTACCTAGAAGGGAATATTGAATATCAGGTGATAATATTTCTTGATTATTTATCTCAAATCATCCTTTTAAATATTTTGCGTTTATTAATAGATATCACAGATATCTTAAGAAGGGACTATTATATATACCTTCATTTAATATATATAGGTAAAAACAGAGGTTGACCAAAACCACATAGCTAGCAAATGGTAGAGCTAACATTTGTGCCTAAGAAGTCTGGCTTCATAACCTGTGCTGTTTGCTCTTTATAACCACAAGAATCTGCCACCTAAGCTTTAATAACAGTTCTTTATTTTTTCTTTTTAATGTCCTTTTTCTATAATAATTGTTAATGTTTATTTAGCATTTGCCACGTCGTAAGCACCTTGTGTGTACTAATTCCTTCACTCTTTGTGACAGTCATACAAGGTGGATAGTATTACTGCTATCATTTTTATCCTCATTTTACAGGGCAACAAAGAGGACTGATAACAAACTTGCTCAAGCCATGTGTGGTGGCGCACACGTGTAATTCCAGCACTTGGGAGGCTGAGGCAGGAAAATTGCCATGAGTTTGAGGCCAGCCCAAGCTCCATAGTGAGTTCAGGGCCAGCCTTAAACATAGCAAGGCCCTGTCTCAAAAAACCAAAATACATAAATAAGTGAATGAATGAATGAAACTTGCTCAAGATCATTAGAAGAATAGTGGTAGAATTAGTGATTTGGACTTTGATAATCTAACTTGACAGCCCATAGGCTAAATCACTCAACATTAAAAATTTACTCCAAGTATAGCTCAGTGGTAGAGCACTTGCTAGATTTTTACATTGCTATAGCTTCAGTCTAGAGCACAAAAAAAAAAGGCCATCAGTTTAAGACCAGCTGAACTATATGGTGGGACTCTATCCCAATTGTGGATATGACTTTTAAGTTTGTTAGCATATGCAAATACATTGCCTTTCACATTGCTGACTAGCTTCTGGCTGACCCTAAAGTATCAGTATTTCTACACTTCTTCAAACTTGCTTTACCTGTTTATCCCAGGACATTGGTGGTGAGCCTATGGCATACATGCCATAGTGGACTACTTTGAAAGATGAAACTTTTGCCATCGTGGTCCTAGGGCATTTAGGGGACAGTTTCTACTGTAAATCAAAAAGCACTTTTCACATAGGTCAGAAGTGATTGGTGATAAAATTATCAGTTAAGTGATTCTTCACAATGTTTGAGTATGAAAGTTTTTCTCATCTTTCATGTCTCCCTCATTATGAGGGTAAGAGTTCCATACTAGCAAAAGGACAGAAAGCACAGAAAAGTATAAAGTTCACCAAAACTCCTACTTCTCAGAGATATTGTTAACCTGTTGGTATATATTCTTTGTGACTTCATTCTAAGGGTATTTGTGCAAGTACACAAATATAAATTGAAAATTGTATGTAAGTGAAATGAGTTCACCATATACCTGTTGTTTTGTAACTTGATTTTTTCCTCCATGTAATAGTGTACCTTGAACTTTTTCCTTCTGATTATAATGTATCCTCTAGTTGTGAACATTTGGATTGTTTCCAGTTTTCACTGTTGTTACAAACTTGCGTGCTTATGAAGGTACTTTCACATATTATCACTTACATGCACCTTGCCTTATACACTTGGCCTTAATATCTAAAGATACAGTTAAATATATAAATCCCATAATAAAATTTTTGATTTTTTATAGTGTATATTAAAGAGAAAATTTTTGTTTTCCAGTAGTCTTTGACTACATATGATCTTAGTCGTCCGTCCCCCCCCCAAGCACTTCCCTTCTGGCACCTTTTTTTTTTTTTTTTTTTTTTGGTGCCATTTGAGAGCAAACCTACCAAGGGCCTTTGTGCATACTAGGTAAACACTATCACCAAGCCACTCTCTTCCCCTTGGTGTGTTTAGGTCTTCCCAAGTGAGGCACAGTTGCACTAATGAGAACGAGTTTCTTTTTTTTTTTTTTTGTCTTTTTCCTTTTATCGGTACCGGGGATCGAACTCACGACTGCCTGCTTTCAAGGCAGGTGCTTAAGCCGCTGAGCTAAACCCCCAGCCCGAGAACGAGTTTCTAGGAAGCACTTTTTTAAATGTTGACTGGTGTGACCCAAACAAAATAAACCTGTTTAGAACAATTAGTTGAATTATGTTGTATTATTTTTCCTTGTCAATTTAAATTAAAGCGAGTAACAGTTATCACTGTTTTTAATGTCAGGATTACTAATCTGTGCAGAGGGTCCCTAGCTCAGACTGTTCAGCTGTACTTCATGACTTATTAATGCATATTTTTATTTTTAGTTAGCAGAATAAGTATTACAGAATTGTGTATCACTAGTCAACTTTGCTTAACATTCCCTTTTTAAACAATACCTGTTGGCTCATTACATATTGTCCTTCCCTTCACTTTTTTTGTTGAGACAAAAGATCAACACTCACCACTTAGGCTGAGTGTGGTGGCGCATGCTTGCAGTCCCAGCATTCTGGAGGCTGAAGGAGGATGGCCATGAGTGTTTAAGGCCAGCCTGAACTATATGGTAAGACCCTGTCTTAAAAGAAAAGAAAAAGAATCACCTAATAAAGATTCTTCAGATAAAGCCCACTTAGATTCAGCCATACATTGCATAGTATGTAACCACATTTTAGGCACTGGGTATATAATGGTGATGCAGGCCTCAGGAGTTAAGTTGATAAATCCTGTGGGGTTAGCAAGGAAACAGTAGTTTTCTTCTTTATTACAGATATACAAACTTTTAGTGGAGGTTATTGTATTACCAAGTGACAGACCTGAGATCTACACCCTACTCATTTAACTCCAGGTGTAGGGCTTCTTCAAGAATAGTTAACTTGTTTTTCAGGAAAAAAAAATACTTTATGTGAAATATGAGGATATAAATTGAATTTTTAGAGCTGTTAGCAGATTATTGCTGGTAATAGGGAATAATGGAAGTTTAAAATATGTGTTTTTTAACCCACATATTCTGTTGGGTTTTGGTTGCAGTCAGGTGACACACAGAGTTTTGCACAGAAGCTCCAGCTCCGGGTGCCTTCTGTGGAGTCCTTGTTTCGAAGTCCAATAAAGGAATCTCTATTCCGATCTTCTTCAAAAGAATCTTTGGTACGAACGTCTTCCCGAGAGTCCCTGAATCGACTTGACTTGGACTGTTCTGCTGCCGCCTTTGATCCACCCTCTGACATGGAGAGTGAGGCAGAAGACTCACCAGGGAATTCAGACAGTCTCAGCAAAGAACAGTTGATGCAGCGACTGCGAAGGATGGAAAGAAGCTTAAGTAGCTACAGAGGAAAATATTCTGAGGTAGGAGTATGACTATTTTGCCTGTACAAAATTTTCTTTCCCTGTTCTATTATTTATGCTGCTGTATTGGTCTTAATTCCTGTGGCTGGCTAAACTATTGATTTCCCAGGTACCCTGTTACTGATGTGGTAGGCTGTGGCAATATCTAGTTAGATAGGCAACTTGTTTTTTTCCTTTTTGTATTGGGAATCGAACTCATGACCTCGTGCTTGCATGGCAGGTGCTTGTGCTGCTGATCTACATCCCTGGCAGCAATATCTAGTTAGACCTTCAGTGGTACTGAGGCTCTTTAGCAAGCCTCTTGGTAAAATGTCGAAGAGTATTCCTTATAACTTTCTAGTTCTTGGATTCTGTGTCCCGTCATTCCTAGCCCTTTTCTTAAGATCATTTGGGCACCCAGGACAGAGGTCATCCTTTTTCCTGCACAGATCGCTTTCCTTATTCATTTCTAAATGTTGCCTCCAAAATGACCTCTTCTGCCAATCATGCCCCCTTAGTGCTGACTTCAGATGTATTTTAGGGTAGTCTGGTTTTCTGGCAGATTTGATTCATTCTCATTATACCTATGTTTAAACTTTATCCTAAAATGAGTCTCTTATGTGCTAAACTCTTTGATGACACACCCTGGTCAGTGATTGGGAGGAAGTAGTGCTATTCCATTTATATCTTTAGTCCTTCTGGAACATTTCATAATAAGGCTTTATTTCATGCTTAATTGTATTGGTTGCTTTCTCTCAGTACCCTTTTTTGTCCTGTGCAGTTAAAGCAATTTTTCCTCAAAAAAACCTTTCATGGAATAGGTGTCAATGGCTTCTTATCTTAATATGTAATGCTTATTATCTTACAGTTTGTAAGTCAACACCACAATTAATAATTAATTTTAATCAGTGAATACTAAAGTTTAGGTGTTAGCCAAAACTTCTGTTTCAAATTATGGTTATTATACAGATAGTTTTACCCTTATAGCCAAAACTGAACCAAAACAAAAACCTTAATAGAATATATAGAATACTTTTTAAAAGTATATGGTGCTGACAAAATTGAAAGGAACTATAAGCCTAACATCTGAAGGCTGGCACACATAGAGGCAAACAGAGTACTAAAGCCATGTATCTCCTGATGAGCTTGTGGAATCAGACAATTTTTTCCTTTAAAAAATTTTAAACTTTTTTCTACTAAAGGTATTAATGGTTTTGAATTTATAATTATGTTGTTTTTACTAACTTACCCAGAAAAAACTTGGGCAGCAGAGTAAATTGGTTTTTAAGTGTGCCAGATGCTATGAAGTTTGTATTTACAATTTATTTAATTTGTACCATTCTTATGAAGTAGATGTTAATTGGCTCTGTTTTATGAAAACAAGATTAGAGATTCATAAAGATGAGTAACTTGCTCAAGGTCCCATAGCAGTTTGACAGAGTTTGGATTTGATCCCAAATCTCTTTCTATTGTTCTGTGCTGTCTCAAAGTCAAGCAGCTTATTAGGGAAAAAGAACCCTTAAGCTTTATCTCTACTTCTCTTTGCCACTCTAGTTAACTAGTATGAACTATTGTTACGAATAAAATGTCGTTCTTGAGGTAGTTTTCCTGACTTCCTCACCTGTTTTTTGAGCATCATTATCCCTTTTGGTCTTCTGGTAATAAGAGCAGGCTCCTTTTGTATTTTTAAGTCTGTCGCTAAACTCATCTGCTGTACTGCCTACCTCTTGACTTTCAAACATCAGTAGTGGCATCTGGGGCACACAGCAGCTTTCCAAGAAAAATAGAAAGTCTCATAATAGGGGGTGCTTCCTCTTAAAGCTGCTACCCAACTCTTCAGAGACTAATACTTCTAAAATAGAGTTCCACAATTCATTAGAGCCATGTGCTTAGTTTGTGGATGTGTCATGCTTAGAACTTACAAATATAAAAGGATTGTTAATTCATAATTTTATTAAGTTGTTTTGGGATGTATTAGATTATATCTCTGTTTAGGACTTGAATTACAGTATCCATGAATTGGTTATAAGCTTTTTTCCTCATATATTTGCAAAGCTATAGTGACAAATCCTATAAATAGAAGAAACTTTTAGAGAGCAGTTGTCTGGTATAGTATATCCCAAAGCAAAAACTGACTTGGAGAGCCCTTTAAAACACAGATTATTGTCTCTTTACCCACTATAATCCAATTCTCAGTCAGTTTTTTGGGGTAGAGCTCCAGAGTTTGTGTTTCTAGCAAACTCTCAGTTATTGATAATAGTCTGTAACTACATTATGTAGTTGGAGTAACCTTATGCTTTTAGGCAATATCTTAGTTACTTTCTTACTGCTGAGACAGAATACCTGGCATTCACAAGCTAAAAGAGGAAAGGTTTATTTTAGCTCACAGTTTGTAGAGATTTCAATCCATAGTCAGTTGGCTCCAAGGCAAGGTGGCGTGGCAGAGGGTCATAGAAGAGGAGAAACAGTCCATGGCATGGCAGGCAGGAAGCACAAGACTACCCTTCTCTTCCTTTTTTATTCCACCCAGTCTGCAAGTCTGTTGGTTGGTGCTACCCATGCCCAAGGTGGGTCTTCCCTCTTCAGTAAAATCCATCATTGACACCCAGAACTATGGTAAATCAATCAGTAGGCTAATCCAATATCACCCCTGTGATCCAGTTATTCCCAAAAACCTAACCTACTGAGTGCATGAAGCTTTGGGGGGAAAACTAGATATAAGTCATAGCAGGCAAGTTAGCTTCCATCCTTACCTATGAATTAGATACTGAAATCTAAAGAAGTTTATACTTAACGTGAAGTCATATGGAGAGTCAGTGTTTATAAAGTCAAATTACATTTTACTTTTTAGAAATATACTTTCTGTGTTTACTTAACTAATATGCATTGAATTAGGTTGCTGAAATGTCTAGAAAGAGATATTTTGAGTTTAGAATAATTAGTTGCATTGATTAATAACTAATGTTCCTTGATGACTTTATTCTAGCTTGTTACAGCTTACCAGACTCTTCAGAGAGAGAAGAAAAAGCTACAAGTAAGTAATATTTTGACTGTGTTACTGAGCTATACATCATGGTAAAATTAGAAAATAGCTAGTAGGAAGATATTTTTAATCCTTTTTAAATTCTCCACGTGATTACAATATTTAACCCATTTTGCCATTACTGGAGATCTTGCTAAAGAGAGGGTGAATGAGATATCCTAGAGATTTTTAGTTGTTATGGACAGACTTCCTGGAATTACAGATCCCAACAGTGTTTAACAGGCTTGGATTGAAGACATGTTTGCCTCTTTTGAATACATTTCCTACTACCAGTCTATAGGAATTTTCTTTTTTCCAATATTCTTTATTTAATTGTGTGTGTGTGTGTGTGTGTTAGTAGGTATAAAACTGAGGGCCTTGCATGTCCTATGCAAGAGCTGTACTACTGAGCTATATTCACAGCCCAAACACCCAGCCTTCTATTAATTTTCTTTTGTTTATTGAATCCCTCTCTGTTATCTGCAGACATCTTTATTTCTTGTCATTGTATTAGTATACAGATCCTTTCTTCTGGGATAGTAATTTTCCAAGGCTGCTGCTTGTAAAGCTCTTAGTTAAATGTATGGGGACTAAAGCTAATAAAGATCTTCTGGGAGACTCATCTTTACCCCATGTATCATCCTGCTTAGGGCCAGAAGTTTCCCTCCAGATACCTCAGGTGATTATTCACACGTCAGGAATAGGGGAAATGTCCACTCCAGTTCAAGTGGTGCCATCAGTTTGCTTTCTGTGCGTGTGTATGTTAAATATGATCATTTTGTTTTGGTAGAAGTTATTTTAAACAGTTCAGCATTTTGTTCTAGTAAAGCTAATCATGTAACTAAAAAGTTACTTATTTATAAAGTGAATTTTCATAAAATTGATTTCCCCAAGTAATTTTTTTGTTTTCTTTTTAAAAATTTATTTATTTACTGTGACAAGGGCTTTCTGTCTAGTTCACACTGGCCTTAAACTCACTGTGTATCCACAGCTACCCTCTTACACTTTTGATCCTCCTGCCTCAGCCTCCCAAGAACCAAGTTTAAAGGCATATTGCAACCACACTTGACTTGTTTTTTAAATAACTTTCTATAAATATTAATCCTGGCATATTACGTGTAACATTAAACATTAAATTTCCTGAAATATAATCATTTCTGAATGGTAACATGAATTATTTCTTGCAGAATTGGTGTTCTAATTGTTCATAATAATTATGAAAATTAGACTATTACAAATGAGGTACACACTTATTACAAATTTGGTAATATTTTCCTGAAACAAGGTCTTTCAAAGTGGCGAGTAGTTCTGACTTAACCTATTATTTTAATATTCTGTAAATTCATTCTCAAAGGGTCACCTTGTAAGTTCTGTGGCTTTCTTGCTTATGTCTTGTGAACTTTGAATGTAAAAATTCCTGATGTGCATAATTTTAACACTAAGTGGCAGTAGAGAATTGTCATTTCATTATTCTAAATATAAAAGATATTGGAGATAAAATTCAGTGACTTGCACTCCTTTGTGTATATGCCCATGTGTGCCTAAACACCTCTGAAATACCCTTTCAATAGATCCAATAAAATTAAAATTACAAGTACTATTAAAATTATTGCTAATGCCTTTCTTACTAGTTAACATTTATTGAGCTCTTTGTATGTACGAGCCATCGTATATTTAGTTCTTGTCCCTCTCTTGTAAAGAAACCGAGGAAGAATGACTTACTCATTGTTTCAGTGTGTAAGCGGCAAGTGAGAGGAGAGGATTCACTACCCTGCAGTTAGCCTACAAAACATGTGCTTCTATATACTTGTCTACAGTTTCTCACTTTTCTCAGTATTGCATTGCCTGCCCCCCCCCCCCCCCGTCCCCCGCCCCCGCCCGGGGGATGGAACTCAAAAGCTCGCACTTGTCAGACAGGCGCTTAGGCCACTGAGCTCAATTGCTAAATCCCCGGCCCCTAGCATTGCATTTTTATACATTTAAAAATTTGTATTTGAAACCAGACAAAACTTGTGTTCATATAGGGGGAAAAGAAGACTTTGGTTTTGATTTAGATGCTGATATGGCCCTCTAAAAACAATGCAAGTCATATTCCTCTGATAAGAAACAGCTGTAACCCTGGCTACTACCTTTTTTTTTCCTCCTCCCTGAGGTAGTAGAGATTCATCCTAAGGCCTCACACACTGGGTGCGGGCGCTCCACCACTGAGCTATGTCTCTAGCATTTTTATTTTTTGAGACAGGTTCTCACTAAGATGCTCAGACTGGCCCTGAACTTGTAGTTCTCCCAAGTGTTTGGGATTATAGGTGTATATCACCAAGCCCATGATATCTGTGTGTTTTAATAAATGTATAGTTAATTGTGTGACCACATTCATAGACAGGATGTAGAGAGATTTTATAGCATAATGAACTACCTTTCAACAGAATCTCAACATGGTCACATTTTAACATGTTCAGTCCTCTCTTCCATCTTCAGATTATTTGAATAATCAGTTATAGTATTACTAAATAATTATGTTAAAATTTGTTTTTCATTACTATGCTTTGCAGACTTTTAATCAGCTTTTTTTTAAATTAAAGGGTATATTAAGTCAGAGTCAGGATAAAGCACTTCGTAGAATTGGAGAATTAAGAGAGGTAAGTTTTAATGCTTTGAAAATAGTAATTGTTTCCTATATTTATCATCATTGTATATGATAGGATATTTTATATGCACATAATTTATTATAGGAGTAACTTACTAGTTCAGCCTACAAGACTATAGTTCATTCATAGAGTTTTTATTTATGTAGTTCTTTTCAAATAAACATTGTTGGAATACATGAAAAAATGTCTTAACAGTAGACCATGGCTTATCTGTGTGAATAATCAGTAGCAACTTCTAGGGCTAAAATGTCCCTACTGTATTTCAAGCTTTGTTTTTTGCTTTTCCCAATCAGTAATTTTTTGGGGAAAATATAAATTTTATAGTCATTGTACTTTTGGGGATAATTCTTAATAGAGGTTGGATGTACCATTGGCTCATGTACCCACTTGGTATCTGTGTGCGCAAGACCATCCCTGGTTTCTTATACTGTCTCAAATTTGCCTGCTGTACTTTGCAGTCAGTACTTGCTGCCTTTTTCTAGTTCTTTTATTCCTGAGCCCGTCTGATACTTCATTGGTTTCTTCTATCATATCCAATACAGATACCAATAACATATTTATTAGTATTAGTGCTTTCTTTCTACCTATTTGTATTTTGGTATTTATGGAGAATATGTTGTTACTTATTTGTGGTGTGAATCATTGGTCTTAGTTTGCTATTTTTTGTTACTTTAGTTCCCAAACAGGGCTTGGGGAAAATTTGAAACAGGTGGCATTATGGCAAATGAAAGTAAATTTAGAATCGTATGAATTCTAATTGTATAATTTATGGAATTTATCAAACAAAGATATATATGTTGTAAGTACAGTTTAAAAAGGATTGAATAAATTAAAAATTCTACAAATAGCAATTGAGAAATGCTAGTATATTTGTGAGACGAGGCAAAGGAGAAGAAAAATATGATAGTTTTGAATGGTTGAAATGTCATCAAGACCAATCACTTTAATCACTTTGTTCCACAGAATATGCTTTGTTGTTATTGCTGCCTGAATTAACTTTCAATATTAGTCATATAAGAATTTCTTGTATAACATTATGGATAATTCTTACTGATACCATGTTTTGTTTCTAGTTTCTTCTTGTCTATTATTATTTTTAGTTTATTATATAGGCTATTTCCTGCTGTTTTGTGATGATACAGAGAAGTTTTATAATTTACCACAGTTCCCCAGTATTCTTTAAAACATTGTAACTTTGGAAACAAGGGTAATTTATTTTTGTTGTGTTAACAAGACCAAGCATTGACGTCTATTGTACAAATACTTTCATCTTTCCTTAATAAAAAATTATACAACTTGTTTTTGATTAGTACCTTAGAAGAATTAATACCCACTTTTAAAGTAATAAAGAACAAACCCTTTACTCATGGTCCTCCTATGATCCCACATTTCTAATTTGACTTAGAACACAGCTAGTATTCAGAGAAGCATTGCATAGAATTGCAAGTGTGCAGTGAGAACAGGGGAAATGAAGGTGTAACAGGTTCATTATTGTCTGGTTTCCCCGCACCTTTATATTACTGGAATATGATTTTTAACCTTGTGAAAACTTCATTGAAGCACTTTTCCAAGAGGGGCAAATAATGTGACTTTTATCATCAGAGACTTTTTTCTATTGGGCTAGCATCTTTTCACTTAGTACATATTTTTGCTCATTATCTTCCATTTGGAGAATGAAAGTTGTTGGCAATCAATATATTCTATTTGGTAAGAAATTTAATGACTATATTTCTACAGCTAATGATTGTTATACATATGATGAAGAACAAACATGTTTAAAATTCAGAAAGTATATATTAGAGGTTAGGTATTAGGTTTTGAGGTTTTTTTCACTGAGGAATATAGGCCCAAGAAAATACAGCTGAATGAGAAGTGCACATTTGAATGGATGGCTAAGAACGCATGTGATATTTCACATTGATGGCTTTACTAATACTGGAGGATTATAGGTGTGGGGGAGAGTAGGCAACACTTAGTGCCCGACGATGTTTCTGTTTTGAATTTGAAATTCAATAGATTTGAAACAGTTTGAGAAAAGAAAATTGGTTATAAGTACATGAAACTTTTTAAAGCAGAATTATTGTAGCAAATCTATGAGGAATGGATTCAGAACACTTGAGGGCTATTGATGAAAATTCACATCAAAAATTAGGGAGATTTGGACAGTGATTTCAGTTGTAGAAAAATGTTGTAGGGAGAGTAATAAAATATTTTGATCACATGTGAGGATCAACAAAAGATATTTTAAATATTTCGAGTTTAGGGAATTAGTGAGGTAGAAATCCTGGTGTAATCAAGTGTTTTTGAGTGTTCAGTGTAGTACAATCTGTATGTCTAGCATTGTGAAGGGAGAACGTGTAAGGGAGAAACACAGGAGACACAGAACCAAGACTGAGCCTAAAGGGATGTATAGAAGTCAGCAAAGGATAAAGAGGCATATAGCCAGGGCTGGTACCAAAAAACCAAAACAGAACAACCCCAAACATACAGCTAGAAGCTCCACGGTCATAATGGGGTTAAGATCCAGAGAGATAAAGATCATTGTAACAGCTTTTAGAAATACCCATAAATTAAAAAGATAAAAAAGAGATATCTGGCCATGGTAGAAGTTAGGGGGAACTTGCAGTTAGCCCATTTTTTTGGTAAGTGCCCTGGTGCGAGCCAGGAAGAGAACCAATTAGTGTCTCCCATGAGTCCACCAGTGCATAAGCTGAGAATCAAATATCCCAACCCTCCCCCCTCCCCAGCAACTGGGGGCAGAGGTCTGAGCATCTCTTGGGAGGATGACTGTATGCAATATAGCAAATAGGGGAGATTTCTTTCTATCTTCTGTTTGAAGGCAAATGTTGTTTTCACTGTTTTGTTTTGTTATGATTAATTATTTTGCTCTATTCAATATTCTCTCTCTGTTGGTTTTATAATGTTCTGGTTTTGGTTTGATATTCCTATACCTAATTGAATAGACAACTATTGTGAAGATAACGAGATATACTATGGTACCTATTACTGTTATCCTGATATCCTGCTGTGAAGTTCTGTACAAGTTTCACTGCATTGTCTCGATTGGCTTTGTTCTGTCTTGTTCTTTAAAATACAATTAAATTAAAAATTAAACAATTTAGGTGGCTGCACAAAAGGGCAATTTGCCCGTCCTCTTGGTAAGTGCCCCTGGTGCCAGCTGGGAGGAGAACCAGTCAGCTGTTCCCATAAGCCTACCGGTGCGGCTTGGGCTGAGAATCAAACATCCCCCCTACCCCATCAGCAACTGGGGACAGAGTTCTGAGCATCTCTTGGGAGGATGACCATATACAATATAGCAAATAAGGGGGATTTCCTTCTATGTTCTGTTTGAAGGCAAAGGTTATTTTCACTGTTATGTTTTGTAATGATTGTTATTTGTATTCAATATTTTCCTTCAATTGGTTTTACAATGGTCTGTTACTGGTTTCATTTTAGTATACCTAATTGACTGGACAACTATTATGAAGATAATGAAATATACTATAGTACCTATTTCTACCATCCCAGTATCCTGCTTTGAAGTCTTGTACCAATGTCACTACATTGTCTCTATTGGCTTTGTTTTATCTTGTTCTGTTGTATTTTTACTACATTCTACATAAAATTTAAAAATTAAAAGGAAAAAAAAAGAAATACGCATGAATGACCCAAAGAAAGTAGCATTTTAAGTAATTTTTAGGAACTAGAAATTTTCTTGTTCAGTGATCAATTGGTTCACCCTTTTTATGATTAGAAAGCATAGGATTTTGACTAATGGATGCTTCATGTATTGGGAGGAAGGAAACCATTGGATTTCTATATGGTCCATTTCAATTTAAGTTTTATTTTCTTTTTTTCTTTCTGCATTATTATTATCCACATAGTAATCGTTACAGCTCCAAAAAGAGTACATTTTTTTTCTTGACTCTTCATAAAGGAGAAAAATTATTTGTTGGTGTTAATATCTTAATGCTGATTATTCTCCATTGTTGTTACCTTATCATAAAAGATACACAAATTTTAAACATTAAAAACTTTAGTTTGTATTTGTTGTCGTATGTTGAAAATCACTTATAAAATCTTTTGTTTTAGGAGCTTCAAATGGACCAACAAGCAAAAAAACATCTTCAAGAGGAGTTTGATGCATCTTTAGAGGAGAAAGATCAGTATATCAGTGTTCTCCAAACTCAGGTAAAACTAAAAGTATGGAATTTTTGTATTAAGAAAAATAAAAGGCATTTTGGTGGACTAAGGATACCAAATTTTTAATGCACATTTGTGCATGTGCGAGTGTGTGTGTAAAGTAGGAGAGGCATAATTTTAAAAAACAGTTTTCCTCAATTTTAAGGCTAACTTTTGGTTTCTTGTATCATTTTACTGTATCATTGGTAACAGGACATAAAAACCAATTGCATTGGGAATAAGCTTTTCATTTTGATTTTCCTCCTACTGTAGTAAAAACAATATTATTTACTCTATCCTCTTAATGTTTTACATTGGTTTTTTTCTTTTTAAAATTTCCCTGAGTACTTTTCTCTAGGTTTCTCTCTTGAAACAACGATTACGAAATGGTCCAATGAATGTTGATGCACTAACGTCACCTTCTCAGATGGAACCACAAGCCAAAGCCTTCCCTAAAGAAGAGAACATAGAGGGTGGTGTAGAGCCAGTCGGTAAGCTTTACTTTGTCAAAAGTTTAACTTAAAAATTAGAAGAAAAAAGAGATTCTGAGATGTGAGCTGATAGAAATGGGCTGACATAGGAATAATCTGTCTTTGATCCTAACATTTGCACAAAGATAGAAAAGTTTTTGTTTTGTTTTGGCTTCTTGCTTGACTTTCAGGAGAAAATCAGTAGATGTACATAGCATCACGTTTTTGTTATAATTGAAATTATTGTTATACTTTTTTTGGTAGCAGTAGCTAATTTGATATAAACAGGTCAGTTTTTTGCTCATTGTTAATAAATATGCTAATTGTAATTTTTTTTTCCTTTTTCTTTGGTCTTTTTGACACAGGGTTTTGCTATGCATTGTTCAGGCTAGTCTTGAACTGATAGTGAGCCTCCTGCCTCAGCCTCCTGAGTGCTAGGATTAAATGCATGTGCCATGACTCCCGACCATGCTAATTGTAGTTAGTCAGATATTTTAGTTTTGCTTTTTTTTTGTTTTTGTTTTGGTGCCAGGGATTGAATTCACGACCTTGCGTTTGCCAAGCAGATACTTACACCACAGAGCTAAACCCCCGGCCCTAGTTTTGCTTTTTAACTGGGAAAGAATGATAGCCAAATTTTATTTTAAAATTCATCATTGCCCTCCCTATTTTTTGTTACTGAGTTTCATATTCAGAAAAATTTCCACTTTTATTTCCTAGGCTTTTCTCTGAAAGAGACTTATACTAACCTTTTGGTCCAGTGAAATATAGAATAAATTGCTGAGCAGCTAGCTATTTTGGCAGCCTGTAAGGGATCCTGACCTACCCTGGAATATGAAAAGCTCATTCAGCTGTGGGAGGATGCAGGAAGCTATACTTACCAGAACTCTGATTAGAATGTGGTTGGGAAGAGCACTTTATTAATCCTTTCTTAGTCAAAGCTAAGCCAAAGAAGATATTTTATTTATTTATTTTGCAACAGGGTCTTGCTATATAGTTCCAGCTGGCCTTGAGTTCACTGTGTACCTTAGGCTGGTCTCAAACTTGTGGTGATCCTCCTGCTTCTGCCTCCTGAGTGCTGGGATTATAGCCGTGCACCATTATGCCTGGTGAAGAAGATAATTTTTACTAATAAAAAGTGACCATCAAACTATCTTTAAGGGTCAAATCAATTAATGTTAGTTGATTACCATGTCATTCCAGGATTGAATTGAACCACCAAAGAGGTGAATGCACTACTAATTATTTTCACTAAAAAAATCAATTAAGTATTAACTAAGAATAGACGTTGGAAGAATATCATGTTATTAGCTACCAGAGCTGTCCTCTCTCTTCTTGGTCTGGTTCAAAGTATAACACAAGTTTTTGTGTAATAAGACACTCCTGGATCCAGGCACAGTGGCACATGCCAATAATCCCAGCTCTTTAGGGAACTAAGGTAGGAGGATTGCAAGTTGAAGTCCTGCCTGGACAATTTAACGACACCCTGCAACAAAATAAAAAGTGAAAAGTGGGCTGAGGATGGATCTCATTGTGAAGGTCCTGAATTCAGTCGTATTACTCTCGCCGCCAGATAAACAAATATACACACACACACATACACAGGCACACAGAGTCCTGAGGCTGGGAATATAGGTCAGTGGGAGAGAGTGTGTTTAGCATGCCCAAAGCCCTAAGTTCATTTCCTAGCATTAAAAAAAAACAAATAAAAAGAAAAAACAAAAAACAAAAAACAAAATTCTACCTACTAACAGAGTAATTCTTCCTTGAATTATATTTCTTCCTGACTGATTTGTTGATACTGCTTTATTGGTAGTGGGAGATAGATCTTCTGCTAAAACACCGGAAACACTGCAGCAAAGAATTAAGCGTCAAGAAAAACTACTTCAGCGCTGTAAAGAAACAATTCAGTCACATAAGGAACAATGTACTCTATTAACCAGTGAAAAAGAAGCACTACAAGAACAACTTGATGAAAGACTTCAAGAACTAGAAAAGATGAAGGTAAAGAAGCAAATGAGTTTTGTTTTAACACTGTAAAGCTAGATCCACAGGCTCTGTGTAGCTTGTGCCACTTCTGAGAAAAGCCTTTTTTCATTCTCCCTAGACAGGGTGGAGAAAGTATCCTTGTTTGGGCATAAAATGCTCTTGGCTTGATAGCATTTACTTTACTTCTGAGACTTCCTCGTCTAGTATTTTCTGCCCTAGACTACTTCTGTACTTCTCTCCTACTAGAGTATAAGATATATCTGGATTAAATGTTTGAGTTTTCATATGAGGAGAATCTTTATTAGAGATGGAAATGAATTTTTAAAATTCTTTTAGGAGCTTCATATGGCTGAGAAGACTAAACTTATCACTCAGTTGCGTGATGCAAAGAACTTAATTGAACAACTTGAACAAGATAAGGTAAAACGACAAATTATGATTACTAAAATTTGTCAGGGGGCCCCAGAATTCACTTTTGAAAACAATTGGAAGCGTTCGTAGTCCTGCTTTCCCAAATTATTGCAACTATTTCTAGGAAAAGTACTTAAATTTCTAGATTTAACTACTGGCATTAGTTTTACATCATATGAAGCTGATTCTCTATCCATAATTTCTTGATTCTAGTCGGCATTTTAATCTATAGATTTGAGTAACTTTTGCCAAGGAAATCTGTGTGTACAGTACATACTTACTTTTCAGAGAAAATTTATAATGAAAGCATTCTAAATGTGAATGATTTTGGTATATTCCTTCAAATATTATGGGGAACAGATTAGTCTCTCAGATAAGTTGCCTAGAAAATAAAGAAATGATGCATGTATATTAACATAAGCAAACATTTACACATAAGGATTTTAGAGTATATTAGGAGACTGGAAGACTGAGAAAGGAATGTCTTATCCTTGGCAGGCTGGTGTTGGGGCGACAGTATTGACTTGCTTTAACCCCAAGTTCTGGGGTGCTTTTTAAAAGCAGCTCCTGGTCATTTCCTTTAATATTGCTGGCTTATAGCTATGCTATTTTATGTCTTTAAAACAAAGCTCTCTATTTTTATAAAATATAATCACATTATCATGAGTACATCTAACAGCTTAATAATTTTGTTATACAATTTGATATCTATTTTCAGATTTCTCTACATTTCTTTTTATGACTCATGATCCAAACATTTCTTTCCCTGCAATTGATGGGTCCAACTCTTAAGACTTCTTTTAATGTATAGATTCAAGTGTCCTCATTCTTTTTCTGTTGTGATTTGGTTTTTGAAGAAACTGAAGAACCATGATTTTGTTTTGAAACTTTTTATTAACAGTGTTTCCCTGACTTGGTTGTGATCTGTGTCTTTATATTAACCACCTGAAAGTCTATACTGTAAAGCAGGGCTCAGCACACCCTGTAGGTAAAGTAATAATCTTTTAACATCATAAAATAGCTCTCATAAAATCTGAACACATTTTCAAGAAATAATTTGACTACTCCATTTTTTGTTAGTCCCAAATTATTGATTTATATAATAATTTGGTTATCTCTTTTCCCTTAGTGACCTTCATTCTAGCGTAGATTATCTACATAGAGGGAACAGAAGCACCTAGCAAATTGGAGGAATGGGGTGCCTTACTGACAGTGATAAGGAGTAGTGGTGGGACTACAGACAGTCACAGGAGGAAAGAGAAAAACCAGGTAGATCCATCCTGCAGTCTTGCTCCTTCTACCGTAGCAGCAGGAACTGTAGTCTTTGAGAGTCTCTGGGATTATCTGCATGTTACAGGCTGGTTTAGTAATTGTAGTTCATTAGGGTCCTGAACCAAGTTCAGAAGGTTGTATTTTGTTCATTGTAAGCTGATTTTTTTTTTTTTTTTGAGATAGGATTTTATTATGAAATTTAGGCTGGCCTGGAACTCATGTTGTATCCCAGGCTGGCGTTGAACTCCTGCCTCAACCTCCTGAGTGCTGAGATTACAGATGTATGCCACCATGCCCAGCATAAACTGATTATTAAAATGTGAACAATTACAGCACAGTTATAGAAAAATGATAAGTATTTTAACTAAAAATATGTTTTAATGCTTAAAAGATTTAAGTTACTATTAAAATAATTTTTACATTGAAAATATCCTGGTACCATACCAGGTAACTAAGGCCTAGAGCAAAACATAGATGATAGTTCATGAAACACTGAAATTCTTATGCTATACTGAGCTGGGGATGTAACTCAGTGGCACAGTGCCTGCCTCGCAAGAGTGAGGTCATTCGTTTGATTCCTGGTACCAAAAAAATAAAAAAAAAAGAAAGACATTTTTTTTGCCTTTCAAATTAAGTTTAAGCTGTGCTGTTGATGATATAGTTTTGTTAAACAAATGCTTTAGAGTCTGTACTTCTGTTCAGGGAATGGTAATAGCAGAGACAAAGCGTCAGATGCATGAAACATTGGAACTGAAAGAAGAAGAAATTGTTCAGCTTCGTAGTCACATTAAACAGATGACCACCCAGGGAGAGGAATTACGGGAACAGAAAGAAAAATCTGAAAGAGCCGGTAAGAACTCAGGAGTTGTTTTGTGATTGAGGGAAAATTCTTTTGAAGTGCTTTACCAATTTTCTAAAAATTAAATATTGATACAAATGTTTAACTGTAGATACTTTTATAAGACAGCAAATTGTTCATTAGAGAAGGTGGTGATAAGCAAACGATGGACCGTAGGTTAAATCTTCTAGTCAATGGTCAGTTTATATACAGCCCTCAGGCTGAAAGTGACTTTTACGTTTTTAAATGGTTCAAAAAAAGTGACACAGCCTGCAAGTTGCCTATAAAGTAAAATATTAACATCTGGTCACTTACAGAACATATTTACTGATTGTGGCCTTAAGAGTATCAAAACTCAAGATTAAAATTTAAGGACTTAAGTATGATATGGTGCTTATTAAATAATGGCTACATTGTAGTTGCTCGAGGGTGAGCAGAAAGCATAAAGTATAGTACACTTCAAAAGGGAATAACAAACAATTCATTCATATATAATATGTCATAGCATTATATTTTGACACAATAAATATTAGGTCATAAAAATTAGAGACCAGCATAGTGTAGTGTGGTATAGTAATTCAGCAAGATATAGTGTTGAACAATGCTAAAAAAGGAGACATGTTAGAAAGAAGAGGGAGCAGAGTGAATAGTACATTTGGATCCAGAAGCTTGTGAGTTTTGAGTTGGGCTTTAATAATGAGTAGGGTGGTCTTAAACACAGAGTTTGGGAACAGGACACATTTTATTTGCTACAAGACATAAACAGGCACAATGATCACAGAGAGTATATAGGAGTCATCATTTTTGCTAAAGTGGGAAATGAAGTTGGGTTATGAAAGAACTGACCATTGGAATCTTAAAAGGTGATTAGCTGCATTTGGAGTTCCATACACAAGGCAATAGGAAGGCAGTAGTAGGAAAATATAATATGATAGAAGCTACGGTATGTACAAAGAAAAAAATGCAGTGGAAGTCAAACTTGGAAGTAAAGGCAGAAATCCATGTTCAAGGGGCTTAGAATTTTGACTGCGTTGATTAGGATGGTGGTTCTGGGAAGGAGAGGAAAGGTAGAAGCTGTAGAATTCAGCAGTTGAACTTGAAGGAAAAAAGTAGGAATCTGTGATGACTCAAATTTTTAAGCAGGAAATTGGAGTATAGGGTGGAGTTGTAATCGGGAACCTCAGTGAGGAAGTTAAAGATTGGAATCAGATGATGAATTTGTTGAGATACTTTGCAATAATCAGAGCTTTTCAACTGGAATTGAGTTGGAGGCATTTGAAATTAAGAAATGGACGTATCTTTCAGCAGTTGTTAAGCTGGGGTTGATTTCTGCAAATCTGTAGGAAAAGCTGGTTTCTCTAGAGGTTTTACAGGACAGTAGTGGCAGTAGCCACCATTTACTTGGTTGGCCCTTGCTGCTCCTGCTGTAGCCACTATTAATATGTCTGCTAGCCAGCACATAGTTATTTTAGCAGGTCTTTGTTAGTGGTGTTTTACTTGTATTTAATTCTTAAAAATCCATGAGATAGTTCTAGTGTTGTCATTTTATAGTTCTTATTATAGATCTAAGGACCTAGAAGTTATATAATTTGTCTATATTCATGGCCAGAGTGTTGAGTGTGTAATCAGGATTTTAATCCCAGCATAAGGTTCCAGAGTCTGTTTTTTACCCACAGAGATATGAGTTTGGGAGAGACAAATAAATGAGAAAAAAGAAATGATCACAAGAAGTCTCAGGAATTCTGAATATTTATTTGGAGGGAAGATGTAAGAAATGTTATAAGAAGTAGAGAAGGCAAGGTGAGGACTTTGAATTTGGTTAGGAGTTGATTCTCAGGATACAGTTTTGAGAAATGATTTTAGAAGCGAGATTGTAAGGTGTTAAGGAGGGAAAATTTCCTTTCAGGAAAAGGGTCGCGCTAAGTTGTCCAGGCTGGCTTTAAATTACAGGCATGTGTCATTATGTTCACCTTAGGATAAATTCTTAGCCTTACAGACACTTTTAGTTTTTTGTTTTGTTTGTTTTTGGTTACCTTTGTTAGTTATAGCCATTACCAAACAAAACAAAAACCCATACTGCAGTGTTAAGCCCCTGTCCATTAAAAATGTTCTTGGTCTACAATTATAGAGGCTGAATAACACATTCTGCTTGGATTAATGAGTACACTAACTTTCATAAGCACTGTTTTCCTTTCATATATCTTGTCTTTGCTGAAGTTATGTGTTTTATATGATTGGCTGCATTTAAAAATTTGGATTGACTCATAACATTCTTTGCTTTTTTATTGTCATGTTGTGTTTGTACAGGAAAGCTTTTTATTTCTTTTTATAGTATAAGCTTGATACACCAAAGACATCCAGTAGAATGTATTTATTTTATGTATAAAAGATCTTTTAAATACTTTTGTGTTCAATGTGTAAGATTTATACGATAAACCAAAATAACATGTGTATTTAAATGTTTTGTTAGTTGCTGATAATTTATGTAACAGTTTTCTTGGAGTTTTAAGTCTCACAAAACATCTTATTTTTGTGCATCCACACATGCCAATAAGTGAATCATGGTGCCTTTCCCAAGCCTTGTATGAACAGGACTGGGGTAAGGGCTTCCCTCCCCCCTCTTACCACTGGTATTTAGAAAAAGCTTTAAAAAGAAAATTCCATGTTTCTCAGGCAAAAAATTATAATAAAAGTATTAGGCAAAGTAGATTTTAAGTATGCCATGTTAGATAAGTAGTGTGTACATATTTTAATACTAAATGAATATCTGATTAAAACAATCATTATTTTAAATAGATTTTAAATTGCACTTATTTGTGTTCCTGAGAGTGTTACCTTCACAGAAGGCATAAGCAACTGGCAAAATACATTGTTTGGTGTGTTTTATACCTCCAATTTAATTAAGTTTAATTAGCCTTTTCAAGATTAGGCTTGATGTTTTAAAGGTTTTTCATAAATTTGTATGTAAGGAATATATGAGAATTTAGATATATTTGTAAGTTTTTGAAAGTCACAGCATAGTACATTAGTAAAGTAAGTCTTGTTAAATACTTTGGAAAGTGGCTTAAAAATATTTACATTGGAAATACCGTATTTTTAAAATCTCAAAGGCTCCTATGTATTTGTATGCATTGCACCATTAGGTCTATACCACCAGGTGGCGGTATTTTACATTTATTTATGCACCCTTTGTAAGCAGTATGTAGCTTTCAAGCTTTTTTCATCTTTGGAACCTCTTTACACTCTTACAATTTATTGACAATTTCAAACAGCTACATTTATGTGGGTTCTAATATTGCTACTTATTGCAGTAGTAATTAAAACTAAAAATATAAAAACGAATCTATTTAAAAAGAAAACAATTACAAACCTATTGCATGTTAGGGTGAATACTTTTATGAAATACCTCTATATTTTGAAAAATGTAATCTAGTGGGAAGAATAGCTTTATTTTATAATTTTGTTTGTCACGTTGTTTGGTGTAATGGAAAACAGCTGAGTTTTAATGGCTGTTTTTTTGCAGTCATTGTCACATGTTGTTTTCGTTGAAATGTAAACAAACTTTGCTCTACACAGTTAGATATTTGGAAAGGGGAGGACTTTACAGATCCTCTGAGAGAGTTCCAGGACCTCTAAGATCTTTAAAGCACACACTGAATATTGCTGCTCTAGATTTTTTAATTTATTTACAAAGGAGGTTCCATGATTGGATGAGAAATATAATAAGCAAAATTTTTGTTGCTTTTTCTGTAAACTTGCATTTTGTTCATTTTATAGTGCTACCTGTTTTTTAAAGTCTATGCCACATGCATTTTCTGCTTTTTGTAAAAGGCAAAGGTAGCCAGGATAGAGATGTAAGCATTGGTTTACTGTTTCTGTGTTAGCTAGCTTCTTAGGATTAGCAGTTAATTTGGAGGTTGGCAGTCTTTCCTCATTCTGCATCTTTGTTTATTCCTGACAATGGGAGTAGACTGGGTTCTGTTAGCTTTGTTGCTGGGTTGTTTCTGGGACAGAGCAACGAAACAGTAACACAATGTGAAGCATCAAAATTCTGGCATTTGTTGGTATAACTGCTCAGCGTGCTTAGGAGAGGAAAGAAAAAAGTGGTGGAAAGCTAAGTATTCTTAGCTTTGTATAACAATTCTTTTATCTTCCTCCCCTCCTTACTAGTTCAGCTGTCTTTTTCAGAAATATTTTCTGTATGTCGTCCAATACCTAGCATATGATTGGCAAGTGGCAAACATCCAGTAAATATTTGATAAACAAATGGATTATTGAGCTGTAGATTGTCGACTTTTCTCCTTTAACTCCTATGTGAGCATTATCCATTTTTATAATTGCCATGAATGTATGCAAGTCTCATTTTAAGTGGAAAGTGAGGAGTTAAGCAATAAAAGTTTTGCTCTGTATTTTACTTAACTGACAGAGGACCATGTTTAAGGTTGGTTAAACTTTTTACTACAACTATTTTCAAAGTTTTTTTTTTAAATAAAGATTGCCTGAGATACATTGAATTTTACTTTGGAAGAATACAGTGTGTTCTTGCAACATTCTGCGGCAGCTTGTGCTTAGCCTTCCTGTCCAGTGTGAGTCTTGACTGTGGTTTCCTATACCCTCTTGCATGTTGGCAGACTTGTCAGCTGTGATTGATGCATGCTTTTTTTCCTCCCTATTTATTTACTTGTTATTGGTAATTGAAAGATAATTCTGTGGATATTCAGAACTTAATTTTGTAGTACTTGTAATTATAGCATACTTCCACTTTGTAACGAGCAGGGAAATAACTTTTAGCCTATTACAGGTGTGGATACCACTTTGTTTTGTGTAGCCATTACAGGATCAGAAGTGAGATGCTTCTGGTTACTAAGTAGATTCACTGTGTTGTTCTCAGATATTGAAATGGGTGTCAGTGTTGGAGGCAGATTTCCTATGAAGGAGTGACTTGTTTTGTGTTAGTATAGAATTTACAATGGCTTTGAAATAACCTTATGTATATATGATTCTATGTAATGTGCTTTAATGCTTTTTTAAGGAATATTTTAACATTTCCTTAAAACAGGATGGAGGTAGAAAACTGGATTTTGATGTCTGTCAGAGGTATAATATACTATGTTTTGTTGACAGAAACAACTAGTAATTAATTTTTCTAGGTTGGTAAAAATAGTGTTACTCAGCTGAACTTGATAATTATCAGCATTCAAAGTTTTTTTTAAATATTGCAATGACTGTTTCTTAAATCTAGTTTTAAATTTCTACTATTGATTGGTAGGAAAGTGTTAGACAAGAGGACAGGAATCAGAACAAGGGGAAGGAGAGTGTGAGGAAAAGGCATAGGAGAAATAGATATGGTAAGAATACATTATGTGCATATGTCAAAATACCACATTGAAACATAGCATTTTGTAGAATTAATAGGCACCAGTAAAAATATATTTTTAAAAAGTTCTCAAGTGCCTTGTAAGTTGATTTGTCATCTAAGAGCAAATTTGGAATCTCCAGTTACCTCATTTGAATGAGGATGTTGGATATAAAGATTCCTGTTAAGATGTGAAATTGCCTTTAAAAAAAAAACATAATAGATGAAAAGTACTGTGGAGCCAAACTTACCCTCTTTTAATCATTATATGGTGGATAATCAGGTGACTTAGGAAAACTAAAGCATATTTTAAGATTTACTAAGTTTAGCAAATTCAGTTTTTTGGAAGGTTATATCTAACTAGAAACTTAAAGCATTTTTGTTTTGAGAGATGAGAAAATTATACTTAGTTTTATACTGTGCTGAAGTTTGAAATTTAAAAAATGAAAACAATTTACCAGATACTGACCATACAAAGTTTTGTTTCATGAACCAAAGTTTCCAATTAAACTCCAAAAGAACATCATAATGACCTTTAGGTTTTCAGAGCCTGATTTACGATATTTCTGTGAAATACTTCAAAGATTAAGATTACTTGCTAGATGATGATGATGAAAATGTTAAAGATATCTCAGCATTAAAAATAGTTAACTTCTTTTCCATTTTTTTCTTTTCCAGATTTAAATCTTCAGCACAAACTAAGCAATAAGCACTCTACTATAGAATCTCTTTCCCATAGTCACTTATTTTACCGATTTTTAATTGAGGAAGTTAAATTTCATGGTAGTACAAATGACTAGTTATTTCTATGTGCTTGACACAAGAACATACAGTAATAGAATAGTTAGCTAGTGCTCACTTTGGCAGCACATACAACTAAAATTGGAATGATATGGAGAAGTTTAACATAGCCCTTGCACAAGGATGACACCCAAATTCATTAAGCATTTGTATTTTCAATAAATTAAACACACAAGCTTAAATTTCTCATGATTTGTCTTATATATGAAATCTAAAATATAAATAAAGAACACAATAAAAGATAAATAATAGAAAATAGGGGGATAGATTTTTTTTTTTTACAAAAAGGGATGGAACCAAAAGATGGAAGAAGGGTAGGAGAAGGAAATAAAAAAATACGATACATTAAAGATACATTGTCTACAGTACAAATTCCCTATGAAGAATGAGGCCCTTGTGTACAGTAAACATATACCAATAAAAATTAAAACTATAAAAAGTGTAGCTAGATAAAAGCTTTCTTTAAACATTTTATTTTTCAGCATATTTATTTGTAAGGATTACCACCTTGGTGGCAAATTATAGTAAATTTAGATTAAGAATCTTAAAAATGACTTCTGCGAATTAATATTCTTTTGAAATCTATAACATTTGAGCATCAGTTTTCTACTGTAGGTATATAAAATTAATGAATTGGGTAGATTTTTTTATATCAAGGATTTATAGTTACCTTAGAAATTAATTTTTAAACTGAAATTGTGTATCCCAGTTGTCTTCAGAGCTTGGCCTTCTGCTGTTTTCTATACCTAACTTTATTTACCAGTAAGAAACTGCTTTAGTATGTGTTTGTCTTCAGGTATGCAATTCCTGTGCTGGTACCTCTGTCTCTCAAAAACAAGATTTAATTAATAAAAACATTTTAATGAGATGCTCTGGGTTGAATTTTCCATATTTCTTATACAACTAGGTCAGGGAACTGTCTTCCTTGAACATGTTTTTTGATGGCACTGAAAACCTTTCTTGAGTATTGACTTTTTATAATCTAAATCTGTGTGATGGAGGGTGTTCTATTCTGTCACAACTAAAGGAATAGGAATGGAAAGGAAATAGTGACACAGACAGTAGAATTTTCACAGGATATCATTGTGTATTTATATTTATATGTTTCACACATACAGAAAAATCTCTGGATAGGCACATATCCATTTTTGGTGCCAAATTACCCAGTTGTTGCAGTTTGCCTTTCTGGTTTTGTTGATGCTAGATGAGCTATTTGAGCTTCTTAAAGACCTGACTACTCTAGCTAACGTGATTATTTTTGTTGGGTCTGAATTCCTATTTATTTCACCCAAGAACTCCCTGCTGGTAGTGTTTTTCCATACACTGTTTAATTGGTTAGTTTTTTTAGTCAGCTGAAAGCAACTCTAGCTTGAAACTTATACAAGTAGTAGGTTTCAGTTCAAAAGTACAGTACATTTTTGGGTAACTGTGGTGTGATGGAGAAGCCAGTCTGAGAATCATAGACCCTTTCTGAGATGGGGTTGGGAGGAGGGAGATAAAAAACAACAGTACATTGTTTAAATATGTGATTCAGTCAGTAAATGCTTAAAACTCCTGCTGTTTTTATATGCTTGAGATTTTAAAAGGAAGAATAGCTTTATCATTCTTAAATATATTCTATTAAATATATGATAATATTGCATAGTTATTCATTATAAATTAAGAACTAATATAGCAAAAAAAAGCAATTGAAGTTATGTAGTATAGAAGTAAGGACAAGTCTTTCATCCATAAGGACACTGGTTAGGCAAAGTGAGGAATCTTTAATAATGTAGTATTTTTCAAACTTCTGAGGTCAGACTTATATAAATATAAGCAGTCTTAATATCGTAATCCAGAATGCAACAAAAATACTGGTTGTGGTGACTGAACAGTTCTTGAGTCTTTATTGAACACCTCAGAAGTATCTATTGGTTTAGAACAATTATGTGTTTTTTTAGCCTGTCCTGCTACAGCTGCTCTTAGTTCCTTTAAGGTGAATGTAAAACACTTTAACTCAGTGATAATATTTCTTGAGATACTTGTTTTCTATTATTTTCATTGTAGCTTTTGAGGAACTTGAAAAGGCCTTGAGTACAGCCCAAAAAACAGAAGAGGCACGGAGAAAAATGAAAGAAGAAATGGATGAACAAATAAAAGCTATTGAAAAAGCAAGTGAGCAGGAACGCACCAGTCTTCAACAGGAATTAAGTCGGGTGAAACAGGAAGTTGTTGACATAATGAAAGTAAGAATATTTCTGGATCGAAATGGGCTGCAATAATTTTGAAACTTAAGTTTGTGTTTTTGATAGTCTTTGTAGGAAAGAGTTAAGTTTTATTTTAGACTTCATCTTTTTATGATGTTCTAAATATAGGAAAAATACTTGGATAGAAAAATTAATTTAATGTTCAAGTGATTTAAGCTTTGCTTCCTCCACAATGGGCCATGATATGAACTGAGATGTAACTTACCTGGCTTGCTGACTTTAAGATCTTTGAAGAGCTGTTTAGCTGCTTCAGTAGAAAATTCTCCACAGGACATGATCAAAAAGTCCTTGCCTAATGTGTTTGTAAGCAACTGAAAAAATTATGTGGAGAAAAATAACCTTTTAGTGAACAAATGAATATGCACTCTCAGTAAAAATCATTAAGAAAATGACAAATAGCACCATCTTCCCCCCCAAATCAAGGATTTAGCCAGGCAATTCAAAGAGAAAAGTGATAGATTCCTGCTTAACTTGTTTAGCATGAATGTTTTATGAGAAAAATAAGAATTATGTACATTAGAACTACAATGATTATTTTCTGTGAACTTGAAAAGATTAAAAATAAGATAGCATCTTTTTGAGAGGTAGTATTTTTATTTCATTCAGAGTAAATTGTCCTCCGTAAAGTTTGTAGCAATCATACATACGTACATATTTTCACTTTGTCTATTTGACTGATTTTCAGAAATCCTCAGAAGAACAAATTGCCAAGTTACAGAAACTGCATGAAAATGAGCTAATCAGCAAAGAGCAAGAATTGACCAAGAAGTTTCAGGCCCGAGAAAGGGAATTAGAGGATCAAATGAAAGTAGCTCTTGTAAGTACCTACTTTATTTTTGTTATAGTTAAACTTTACAGAGTTGAAATAGTTATCCTCTCTCACTCTTGTCTTTTAGCTTAAGGTTAGATCACTGGCAACCATGACCTGAGGATAGGAGGTAGGTGAAAAAAAGGCCATCAGAGCTTATTAACTTAGTAGTGTGTTAAAATTAAATTTATTGATCTCCCATCAATAAAGTTTTCATCAGTTTGTTTATCCTTCCACACTCCATTTATCTATAATTAAGAGAAAAAAAGAAGAAAGTTTAATTGAAACAGTGACTCCATAATTTGGGAAGAATGTCTAAAAACTCAATGAACTGAATATATCCAAAGCTCAGTACTTCCAAAGTTCGTCTGAAGTATATTTTAAAGAAGAAAAAAAAAAGTCAGTATGCTGTCCAAAGAATAAACAAATTTTTAAAAATTTACCAAACTAACAAGATTAGTAACCAGAAAAGCAAAGATTCATGTTTTTGCTGAAAAATTTGTTCAACTGGTATAATTCAAAATTTAAAGCAAGAAATATTTTTCTTCAGTTGTAGAAGCCTTTTGTATACAAATTACTCTAAGGAATGCTAATACTGAAAATACAGTTCATTTTAATATGAAGTCATGAAATAATATATATAATTTCAAAATGTGATCAGTGCAAAAGGATGAGAAATAGTCATTAGAATTCTAATTTCTTTTCATACACTGTTTTCTTCATTTTTAGTTGGGTCTACACTTCAGGTAATTTCTAATAGCAAGAATTCTTGAACCAAGGTAGCAAGTTTCCCATTGTATTTTGTGGGACAAATAGGCACATGAATTTACATACTGTTGAGTTGACTAAAGTATAGGAAATTAGTGTGTGATTGTTAAATTTACATATATATGGACATGAAATTTTTGTTAGTCTATAAATAGTTTATAAGAACTTACGGAAATCTGTAAGAATATTTATAACAACAATACAAATTAAAAATAGGAACAAGAAAACAAATGGGGCATGGAAATTAAGGAAAACAGTGAAATTTAAGTGAAATTGGAAATAGTGCTAAAAAAACCTTTAATGAAGGCCCACTGTGGACTTTCATTCTAGAGCAATTTGAGGTCTTTGGAACCACTGGGCCTTAAACACTGACATTATTAGTATTGTTTTTTAGGAACTGATATATTAAGATATATTCCAAGAAGAACAAGAAAGACACATACATGTCTCTTCCTTTTTGTGTTGTTTGTTTTATTTTTCTTGTTTTTGCAGTGCTGGAGATTGAAACCCAGGGCCTTCACACTGAGCTACATCCCCAACTCTTTTTAAATTTTTATTTTGAGTCAGGGTCTAAGTCTCTTAAGTTTTCCGGGCTAAATTTGAACTTGAAGTCATACTGCCATAGCCTTCCAGAGTACTGGGGTTACAGGTGTGTGCCACCGTTGCCTTCCTTTCTTAATTCAAGTTTAAATTTTCTAGTTACTTTTATTCAAATACAGAAAAATTGCATTTAAAATATATTTACTATCTCTGAAGCCCTCAAACATTAGTACTCAGTGAGCTGCAGTCATCTGGGAACCCTTAGTGAGGCCCATGGAATTTGGGAGTCTGTGCTCAGTGAACGACAGTCGCTCAGTAAACTTCGGTGAAGTCCACAGGGTTTGGGAGTCTGCACCCAGCAAGCCACGCTCATCTGCGTACCCTGGATGAGGCCTGCAGGTTTTGGGATTCTGCACCCAACTACCTGCTCACACCTGGGAACTGTCTCTGAGGACCATGGGGACGAGGAGTTTGTGCTCAGAGACCCACAGCTATCGGCCACACTTAGTGAGGCCTGCTGCCAGATGGGCCACTAGCACAGGAAGTAACTAGGACTTACCATCTGACTGATTTGGAAGAACACAGGAGAATGCCAAAGCCGAAGAACAAAATGCAATCTCGAACTTCCAGCCCATTCAGATCAAGTATAGGAGACATAGACATGGATGAAATTTCTGAAATGACGGCAATGAAAGTAAAGAAACAGCCCCAGGAAGTTATAAAGGAAATCAGATCACAATCTCTCAGGTAAAAGCAGAAATTATAAACATAATGAAAAAAAATTGGTAAATATATCCAAAGAAAACATTTGTAAAAAAAAATAGAGGAACATAGGGAAATGATGGAAACCTTGAATGAACAATACAGGAAATAATCAGAATACCTGAAACACTTCAAGGAGATAATACAAAAAAATGAAAAATTCCATTGAAAGATGGCAAAACTGCATAAATGAAATTGAAGACAGGATTGCAGCTAGTGATCATAGAAGGAAAGTTCTCTTAAAAATAGCAATGAATCAGGAAATAATTTAACAGCTGTAGGATGATGCAAAGAGAAACAGTATAAGACTAATGGCTGTTGACGAAAAAGAAGACAACACAAATGACATAAAAAGATATTTGCAGAAGTAATAGAAATTTTCCCAAACATGGGACAAGAACCAGACATACAGATAAGTGAAACATATAGAGCTCTAATTTATCATAACCAAAATAAACCTGCACCTTGATATACAATAATCAAGATACTAAAAACTCAGCATAAGAACAGAATATTAAAAGCTGCTAGAGAAAAGAAACAGATCGCCTATAAAGGAAAACCTATTAAATTCATGGCATACTTCTCAGCACAAACCATCAAGTCAAGAAGATCTTGGCATTAAGTATTTCAATTCCTGAAAGTCAACATTTCCAACCCAGATTAATGTACACAGTTATCCTTCAAAAGATAAAAATGATCACAATTCCAAGAACAACAACAGAAACAAGCAGGACAAACAGTTAAACAGAAGGGAAAAGTAGGGAACAAAAGCAGAAAGATAACATGACAAAGATAAGCCAATACATACCAGTTATAACCATTAACATAAATGGCCTCAATCCACCAATCAAAAGAAACAGACAGGCAGGCTGGATCAAGAAACAAAATCCAACATAGCCGGTATATAAGAAACACATTTAACTCAAAAGAAATTCATAGACTGAAATTCAAAGGATAGAAAACATTACCCCATGTCATAGGACCCCAGAAAACAGGAGTAACCATTCTATTTGCAGACAGCGTGAACTTCTAACTCAGAGTGATTGAAAGACATAAAGAAGCTTACCACATACTTGTAGAGGAAAACTTCAAGAGTAAGAAGTAACAATCATAAATATATATGCACCAAATATGAGAGTACCCAAATGTGTAAGATTGATATTAATAGACATGAAAAATCAAATAAGCAACAATACAGTTATAACGGGGGACCTCAACACCCCATTGTTACAAAGAGACAGAGCAACTAAATGAAAAATCTGCAAAGAAATAACTGAATCAAACTTGTGAACAAGTGGACTTAGTAGATGTGTATAGAATGTTCCTCCCAACATCAGAATATACATACTTCTCAGCTGTACTATAGGGTGTTCCCTCTAGAATAGATCATGTACTAGCCCATAGAACATGCTTAAGTAAATGCAAAGGAATTGAAATTATCCCTTGTATATTATCTGACCATAGTGCAATGAAATTGGAAATTAATGACAATAGCTCAAAAGCTATATAAACATATGGCAGTTAAGTAGCATCCTACTGAACAATCAATGGGAAATTGAAGAAGAAATTGAGCAATATCTACGAACAAATGAAAATGCAAATAAAGCTTACCAGAACCTGTGGGATGCACACGTCCTATGGGATGAAAGCAGTCTTCAGGGTGAAATTTAAAGTGGCAAATTTTCATATCAGGAAAACAGAACAAACACAAATAGCCTAGTGATGTTCCTCAAACTTCTAGAAAAAGGACAAGCCAAGCTCAAAGCCCAAAGAAGAGAGGAAATTATAAATAACAGAGCAGAAATAAATGCAGTTGAGACTAAGAAAGCAATGGAAGGAATTAATGGATTGAAAAGTTGGTTCTTTGAAAGAATAAATAAAATTGATAAACCCTACCCAGCCTTATTAAAGAAAGAAATGAAGAAACTCAAATTCATGCAGTAAGAAGTGAAAAGGATAAAATGACTATAGGTCCTCTGGAAATACAGAAGATCATCAATACCTACTTTGAAAAATCTTTAGTAGGATCAAAAACACACGAAATGGACAGATTCCTAGAAACATGAATTACCAAAGCTGGATCAAGATGGTATAAAACTTTTGAATAATCCAATATCAGTTAATAAAATTGAAAATGTAATTAAAACTTAACTAACAAAAAAATTCAGGTCCTGATGAGTTCACAGATGAATTCTACAAGAAATTTAGAGATGATTTAATTCAGTACTACTCTTTAGTGAAATTAAAGGGGAAGCAATTATCCTTAAATTCATTCTGGGAGGCAAATATTACCTTGATACCAAAACCAGAGAAAGACCCAAAGGCCAGTCTCTCTAATGAACATAAACACAAAAATCCTCAGTAAAATACTAGCAAACAGAATGCAGCAAACCATCAAGAAGATTATATATACCACAACCAAGTAGGACTCATCCCAGGAATGCAGGAGTGGTTCAACATATACAAATCAATAAATGTAATATACCATATTAACAGAATGAAAGACAAAAATCACAGGAACATCTCAATAGATGCATAAAGAGCTTTTGATAAAATTCAGTACTCATTCATTATTAAAAAAAAAGACCCTACAGAAAATCAGAATAGATTAGCTTTATCTCCATCTGATAGAAGCTATCTAAGATAAGCCAACAGCCAGCATCATATTAAATGGTCAGAAACTGAAAGCTTTCAGTCTAAAATCAGGAACAAGACAAGGTAGTCCACTATCACCAGTCATATTCAATATAATTCTAGAAACATGAGCCAGAACAATAAGACAAGAGAGAGAAAAAAAAATAAAGAAAGGAAGAAGTTATCATTATTCACAGATGGTATGATACTCTACATAGAAGACCCCAAAAACTCAACCAATAGAGTACTAGACTAAATAAGCAAATTCAGCAGCATAGCTGGGTACAAAATCAGTACTCAAAAGTCAATAGCATTCCTATACACAAACAACAAACTCACTGAGAGAGAAACTAGGGAAACCACAACTTTCACAATAATGTTTTAAAAAACTGAAATAGGAATCAATCAACCAAAGAATGTAGAAGATTTATACATTGAAAATTATAGTACTCTGAAAAAGAAATTGAAGAGGAATTCAGAAAATGGAAAGATTTTGACTCCAGTATCCCCCTTCTGGGTATTTTCCCAGAAGAATTGAAAATGTCATATCACAGTGATATATGTGTACCCATGTTTATAGCAGCACAATTTATAAGAGCTAAATCTTGGAAACAACCCAAATGCCCATGAGCTGAGGAACAGATAAAAAAAAGATGTAATATTTTTATATGATGAAATACTACTCAGCCATAAAGAATGATAAACTTGAAGCTTTTATTGGTAAATGGATGCAACTAGAAACTCTACTATGTGATAAATTGAACTTGCCTGTATAAACACTGCCTGTATTTTTGCCTGTATTTTTCTCACTAGTATAACAAACTGAGAGATAGTAAGATCCAAAACTTACAATAGATGCAGTAAATGGGAAAGAAACTGCTCAAAGGGAAATTATATCGTTTGATCAATCTTGCATGCCTGTATCTGGTAGTCTGAGCAATTACTTTGAGGATACCAGTATACAGTATAACAATCATTATTAAATTCCTATTATCTTGTTTTGAAATCCTGTATCACCATTGTTTTTATGTTTTGTTTTAATTTTTGGTACCAGATACTCATGATCTTCGCTTCCCAGGCAGGCACTTGTGCCACAGAGCTAGGTCCCTGACCCACCAACGTTTTGTTGTTGTCATTTTTGCTTTTGTTGTTATTTTTTAAATTTTTTGTTTCTTGATTTTTCTTTTTTTTCCTCTTTAAAATAAAATTAAAATATATTTATTGGATGTGGTGGTACACACCTGCCCAGGCAGGAGGATTGCAAATTTGAGCCCAGCCTGACTTGGTGAGTCTAGTGACTTAAAAAAGAATTGAGTGTGTAACTCATTATAAAGGCTCTGGGTTAAGTCACCAGGAGTGTGTGCACACATACTTTAGGCAATACAATATATTGAAAAATTTAAAAATCAATGTAATGTAGAACATAATCATTCCTTAAAGCATTATGCTTCACCAGAGTATAATGATCTGAAAATACTTTTGTGAATTATCTATGTCTAACAATAAGTATAGTTAGGTACACTATTGTAATTAGAGTTCAGTCGAGAAATTATTACTTAGTTTGCTAATTTAACATTAAAAATGTTCTCTAGAGTTTCTCAAAATAGTAAAAACCTCAAATGTAAATATAAATATTGATACATATTAAGGACAAAGAAACTTCAATACTGAGGGTGTGTTAGAACCCAGATCATCTGAAAAGAGTAACATAGGCTTTGTTTTATAGATATTTTCTTGATCTTCTCCTTGTATTCAGAAGTAATCTTCTGATTTTGATTTGCTTTTTCATGTGAACCCTATTGGAAGGAGGTGTTTTGCATGAAGTTTATAAATTTAAAATCTAGTTTCTAGACCTAGTGGTGAAGTACCAATCTCAGAAGCAAAGTAGCAAGTTATGAGATCCTTCACTTTCAGCAGTGTTTTGTAAAATATTTTAGGTAATGGAAAGAGAGTACACATAAGGAGCTTATTGGAACAGAACTTTTCATAACAAGAGTAATCTCATTTCTGCAGATGAGAGAAATGGTGGTGTTGCCTATCTCACAGAGATGCATGCAGATCTAATGAAAAAAAGGATTCTTGTGGAAATGCTTTGGGATTGCTAAAGGTTTATGTAGGTTTAAGATGATGTTAATTGTTTTTGGCACAGGAGAAGAGTCAATCAGAATATTTGAAGATCGCTCAAGAAAAAGAGCAGCAAGAATCTCTGGCCCTGGAAGAGTTAGAGTTACAGAAAAAAGCGATTCTCAGAGAGAGTAAAAATAAACTTCAGCATCTTCAACAAGAAGCCGAAACTTACAGGACTGTAAGTTAAACAATGTGTGGGCTCCAGGGCTATGAAATTATTTGTCTATGGAGACCAATATTAGCTTTCCAGTCATTGTAGTTTCAGAGCAACTTTTGTTTACTGGGTTAGATTTATGTATATATATGCCCTTCATTTTTAGGTGGTGTGTACTATTTATGAGCATGGGTTTGGGTTTGTATCTACTACATGGTGCTTCTGATTTTGCCTGTTAGCTAGCTATATTTCCATCAGCCACTCATTCTGCCTCTTTGCACTCAGGCTTCATGACATCTCTGCTTCATTTTCCACTCACTCTTGATCTCTAGGAAGTGGCCTCACTTTGTAGTTAGTACTTCTTCTAGCATCTTCTTGCTTGTCCACCTTTATCTCACATCATGTCCTAGACATCATTTTTTGCTTATATCAGAATCCAGTTATACCATTTCCCTGCTTTTGTATTTAAGACTTTTCCAAGTGTTCCATAATAAACATAGACCTATATTGAACATGTTTGTATGTATATTTATATATGCACATGTATGTATATATACACAGACACACCTTAGCCCCCGCTGGATCCTTTTCCTTAGCAATAGTTTGAATTGTGCTATTTTGAAAACATTCTATTTGGATTTTAACCTTTTTGCTCTGACTTAGACCGTGAAACAGTCACACTCCTTACCCACAATTCTAAATTTTGCTTTATTTTTCCATACACTTCCAAATTGGGTTTTATTTTTTCCATTATTAATATTTATAGGAGGTGGCATAGTGAAATGAAATAGTCGCTTAAGAGCTTATGTCTTACATTTGCTAGCTTTGTAAATTAATTATGCTAGTTTCCTTACCAGTCACATGTAGAGATTGGATTTTTTAGTTCCTTCTGACTTTCTATGGCTCTCTCTTACTTAGCTTCTTTTCCTTTAGAATAAAAACTGATATTTTTATGAGATAATAGCAATCTTTGGTAAAATTTGTGTAAGTACCTTTTTAAAGAAAACCTTCCAAATAATAATTTATGGAGTAAAAAAATCAGATACATTATTTTTTTCCTACAAATTAAATTATTTAAGTAATAAAGTATTATACTGTAACCCTTTCAATAAATATGGGAAGAAAATGTCCACCTTCTTACATATGTTATTATTATGCATTTTGATTTATTTCTGTCTTGACTATCCAGTTAGAATATCCTTGAAAGAAGTAGTCATTGAAATTATTAGCCAAATAAGTAGAAAGCATCTATAATTTTGAAGTATGTTAAAAATATAGCAATTCTTTATAAATAATTCCTTTAATAATTCAGAACAAACAGTTCTTGTCATTTTGTTGTTTGGTCTAAAATGTAAAATTATTTTTCTGAATTTTAACCTTTGGGTGGTAGGCATTATATTTGTGTATTGTTGCTAAAAATAAATCCATTTTCTTTAACAGAGAATTCTAGAATTGGAAAGTTCTTTGGCAAAAAGCTTGCAAGAAAACAAAAATCAATCAGAAGATTCAGCTGTTCATTTGGAAGCTGAAAAAAATAAGCACAATGAAGAACTTAAAATCATGACTGAAAAACATACAGCAGAACTGGAGAGTCTGCAGCATCAGCAGGATAATCTTTGGACTGAAAGACTCCAAATCTTAAAGCAACAGCATCAGACTGAGATGGAAAAATTTAAAGAAAAGTGTGAACTAGAAAAAGAAACCTTACTGAAAGAGAAAGAGAGTCTCTTCCAGGCTCACATAGAAGAGATGAATGAAAAGACTTTAGAAAAGCTTGATGTAAAGCAAACAGAACTGGAATCATTATCTTCTGAACTGTCAGAAGTATTAAAAGCCCGTAACAAGCTGGAAGAGCAACTTTCTGTTCTAACACATCAAACAGATCAAATGAAGCAGGAATTAGAGGCCAGGCTGGATGAAGAGAAAAATCAACATCAGCAGCATGTTGACAGAATCATTAAAGAACGAGAAATGTCTATGCAGAGAACTGAGAAGGCATTAGAAGAGCAAATTAATGAACTGGGGCTTCTATTAGAGGAAAAGAACAAGCATTTGAAAGAACAGCAGGCTCATATAGAAAATTTACAGGCAGAAATTGAAAAATCCAAAGGGGAACTCCAGCAGGCATCTACTACACTGGATCTTATTCAGTCACAACAGAGCACAACACATGAACAGGCAAAAGCATATGAGCAGCACGTGGCCCGGTTGCAAGAGAAGATACTGAACTTGGAAAGAGAAAAATTTGTTCTTACCAGTCAGATAGCTGAAGTTGAAACACAGAATAAAAATGTTTGTATTGAGTTAGATACTCATAAAACACAGGTGCAAGACTTAATGCAGCAACTTGAAAAACAGAATAGTGAAATGGAGCAAAAACTAAAATCCTTAACACAGCTGTATGAGTCCCAACTTAAAGATAGTAATGTTGAACAAGAGAAGACAAAGCAAATGTTGATAGAAAAAGAAAACACAAATTTGCAAATAAGAGAAGAACAATGTAAAGAAATTGAGATTCTCAAGCAAAAATTGTCAGCCAAGGAGGACAGTATTAATACATTGCATGAGGAATATGAAACTAAATTTAAAAATCAAGAAAAGAAGATGGAAAAAATTAAGCAGAAAGCAAAGGAGACACAGGAAACATTAAAGAAGAAACTGGTGGATCAGGAAGCCAAACTTAAAAAAGAGCTTGAAAATACTGTCCTAGAGCTTAGTCAGAAAGAAAAGCAGTTCAATGCCAAAATATTGGAAATGTCACAGGCTAACTCAGCTGAAATCAATGATGCAGTGTCAAGACTTGAAACAAACCAGAAGGAGCAAATAGAAGGTCTCTCAGAGGTACATCAGCAAGAACTCAATGATGTTGTCTCAAGCTGGGAAAAGAAACTTAATGAACAAGCTGAAGAACTTCAGGAAAAATATGAAATCCAATTACAAAAGAAAGAACAAGAGATAGCAGAACTGAAACAAAAGATCCATATATGTGGGTATGAAAAAGAAGAGATGAATAACAAAATAACATTGCTGAAGGAAGAAGGTGTTAAGCAGGATGGAGCATTAAATGACTTGCAGGAACAGTTGAATCAAAAGTGTGTTCATATGACTACTCTTTCACAAAATGAAACTAAACTCAGAGCACAACTTGAAAAGCTAGAGGTTGACTTGAATCATTCTTTGAAAGAAAATACTTCTCTTCAGGAGCAACTAATTGAACTGCAAATGCTGACAGAAAAAGATAAGTTTAAGGTTTCTGAGCTGACAGATAAGTTGAAAACCAAGGATGAGGAATTGCAGAGCTTAAAATCTTTACATGAAACAAGTAAGAAAAGCCTAGAGAACAAGAGCTTAGAATTCAAAACACTGTCTGAGGAACTAACATTTCAGGTAGATACTTACTGTAAGAAAACTGAAGCTTTATTGGAAGCTAAAACAAATGAACTACTAGACATTTGTGATAATAAAACTAATGCCATTGTTGTTAGGATTTCTCATTGTCAGCATCACACAACTAAAGTTAAGGAGGCACTGCTGATGAAAATTTGCAGAATTTCTGAATTAGAAGTACAACTCAGACAACTAACAGAAGAGCAAAATACACTAAGTACTTCTTTTCAACAGGCCACCCATCAGTTAGAAGAGAAGGAAAATCAAATTAAGAGCATGAAAGCTGAAATTGAAGGTCTTGTAACAGAAAAGGAAGCCCTACAGAAGGAAGGAGGCAATCAACAACAGGTTGCCTCAGAAAAAGAGTCATGTATCACACAGCTAAAAAAAGAACTATCTGAAAACATCAATGCTGTCACACTGATGAAAGAAGAGCTTACAGAAAAGAAATCTGAGATGGTCATTCTTAGACAACAGCTAACTGATTTGAATGCTCAGCTTCAGAATAGTATCAGCCTAACTGAAAAAGAAGCAGCCATTTCCTCACTAAGTAAGCAATATGATAAACAACAACATGAATTACAGGACCAGGTGCAAGATTTATCCTTGAGAGTTGATACTCTGAGTAAAGAAAAAAATTCTGCTCTTGAGCAGGTGGATCACTGGTCTAACAAATTCTCAGAATGGAAGAAAAAAGCACAATTAAAGTTTGTACAGTATCAAAACACTATTAAAGAATCTCAAATGCAGCTTGAGTTAAAAACAAAGGAAGCTAGTGAAAAAGATGAGTGCATTCATTTATTGAAGGAAGACCTTAATCAACAAAAGAAACAATTTGAATGTCTAAAGTGTGAAATGGAAGATAACAAGAACAAGATGGAAAAAAAGGAATGTGATTTAGAGACAGAGTTAAAGACTCAAACAGCAAGGATTACGGAATTAGAGAATCATATTACTCAGAAAACAACTGAAATTAAATCTTTAAATGAACTTGTTAAAAATTACAATCAACAGAAAGATAATGAACAGAAAGAATTGGTTCAGAAACTTAAGTACTTTCAAGACTTAGGAGAAGAAAAGGACAACAGGATTAAAGAAGTTGAGGAAAAAGTCTTAAGGCTTGAAAAGCAAATGTCTTTTATGGAAGTTGAACTTGAAACTAAGAAGAAAGAATTGGAATCTGCGAATTCAAATGTGAAAAACAAAGAAGAGGAATTAAAAGCATTGGAAGATAAAGTTGAGTTAGAAAGTGCCACAAAAATAGCAGAACTGAAGAAAAAAGCAGAACAAAAAATTGCTGCTATCAAGAAGCAGTTGTTGTCTCAAATGGAGGAGAAAGAACAGCAATATAAAAAAGGTACAGAAAGCCATTTGAATGAGCTAAGTAAAAAATTGCAAGAAAGAGAGAAGGAGATTCACCTCTTAGAAGAAAAACTTCAGTTATTAGAAAATTCTCCACAATCAGAAATAGTAGAAAATATGACTACATGTACTGAACAAAAAGAAGCAGATCCCCAAAGCATTGAGCAAGAAGCATATGAAGAAAAAATCAATGCTTTACAAAGGAGTTTAATTGAAAAAGAAAATGTGCTGCAAAAGATAGAACAGGAAAAAGAGGAGACAGTTACATCGTCTCATTCTGAAGTGCAAGGCAAATGCCAGGAGGTCTTGTTAAAGTTAGAACATGCTGAGGCAAAACAACAGGAGGGTCAAGTTCTTCAAGAAGAACTTAAAGAAAAAAAGAAAAAGTCCTTAATAGTATCTCAGCATGTAAAAGAAGAGGGAAGTAAAAATAACAAAGGGGCAAAGCAAAACTGGGAAAATGTGGTTTACGATGTCCAAGAAACCCTCCAGGAAAAGGAACTAACCTGTCAGATGCTGGAGCAAAAGATAAAAGAGCTAGACTCTTGTTTATTAAGAGAGAAGGAGGTGCATAGACTTGAAATGGAAGAGTTGATTTCAAAATGTGAAAAATTACAGGCTTTACAGCAACACATTGATGGACAAAATAAACTCACTGAAGTTTTGAAAGACAATACTGAAGAAAATTCCAAATCACATACGATGCAACCCAAATTGCTTTGTAACTTGGAAGCCCAGCACAGTGACCCACAGTTTAAATTAGCAGAAGCAGAGCGAGAAAAGCAGAAACTGAGCATGGAGATTGTTAGATTACAGAAAGACCTTCGAACTCTAAGGAAGGAGCATCAGCAAGAATTAGACACACTAAAGAAAGAATGTGAACAGGAAATGAAGGAAAAAATCAAGTAAGTTTTTATTTTGGCACTTCCCTTTAATTGTGTGTGTGTGTGTGCGCTCGCAGCATGCATGCCTAATACAATTCTTTTAAGTTATTTGGAGGCTTCACTTTCACAGAGTGTAAATGTGTACAACCATGGTTGTATACATGGTTGTATACACCTATCATCCCAGCCACTCAGGAGGCTGAGGTATGAACTCACAAATTTGAGAGCAGCCTAATAACTTTGCAAGTCTGTGTCTCAAAGTTTAAAAAAATAGCAAAAGGCTGAGAATATAGCTCAATGGTAGGGCTCTCCCTTGGATTCAGTCACCAAACACTAGGAAAAAAATGTTAAACATAAATTCAGTGAGTTAAAATACTGAAGAGAAATTTAAAAACAGGTTAAATTAAAAAAATACGTAGTGTTATTCTCTGTCAAGTTAGTGGGAAAAACTGCGACAGTGTAAGTTCATAATTACTAGTTATATATGCAAGTAATTATTTTCTTTTTGGGTTTTTTATTTTTAGTAATAGCATTATTATTATATAGCACAGGTGCCTATGGTGGAAATTTAAAGTAGGAAAAGTATTCTTTAGACTCCAGACCTCCCTCTAGAGCCAGTTATAGTTTATTCGTCTTTCCAGAAATTTGCAGTTCTTAGATCACACACAAATACCTTAAGATTGTTTACCAGTGAGATTGTATTGTGTGGACTGTGTTGAAGTCCAGGTAACTTCTGCAATTTTTTTGTGTGTGGCAGCAGTTAACCTTATATTTTTGTTACTCAGACAAGAGCAGGAAGATCTTGAGTTGAAGCACAATTCTACATTAAAACAGCTGATGAGGGAGTTTAATACCCAGCTGGCACAAAAAGAACAGGAGCTGGAAATGACCATAAAAGATACTATCAGTAAGTACAGTTTTAAATTCAAAAAGAAATAAATCACAATCAGCAGAGACTATTGTTTAAGCTTATTCTTTTTTTTGCTGTTGTGATAAATGCTATAAGTCATTAAGTTGGAGAAAAAATGATTCTTATTAAAGAAAGTTCTCTACTTTGCCCTGCCTGACAGTGACTCAAGTAGAGCAGGAGCAACTGAAAGAACCTGAAAACATTAGTTAATAATTGCCTTATAAAGACATTTAGGCTCCATGAAGGAGCCTAAATAAAGAGCTTTCCTCTTTTGATCATCTGGTCATTGTTAGACTTAGTATTAAGCATCTTGTAATGCTTACTAAATTTTGCTTAATTTGTAAGGAGGGCTCTTAGTAAAAACTGAGATACAGGTATTTAGTGTTGACTAATGTGTCTTCTTTTTATTAGGTAAGGCCCAGGAGGTGGAAACTGAACTTTTAGAAAGCCATCAAGCAGAGACAAATCGATTACAAAAAAAAATTGCAGAGAAGGACGATGATCTGCAAAGAACAGCCAAAAGATATGAAGAAATCCTTGATGTATCTATTTTTTTTCTGTTTTGAAATTTGGCTGTAATAGATATTATAGTAGTATTGAACTAGGTTTTCTGTTTTTCTTATGTAAAAGTGTGCTTTGTTTTGTCTTGTTTTTGTGTGCTATTACCTAAATTAGCACTTCTGTACTACACATAGATTTATGAGTCTAATTGATTTCTGCCTGGATTGCACTTTTATAATATCTAGATAGTGTTGCCTGCTTGCTGGTATTGAACAAACAGTGACTTACTGAGTAGAAGAGGAGATTCTTTTTTTTCTTCTTCCTCATAGATTCAGGCCAGACTAAACTGTGAGAGACCAGATTAAGAATTGAGACCTGCTGCTTGGATGAAGTCTTAAGTAATACAACATTTAGTGCATATATTTCAGTGTGGCTGCTTAACTTGGGATCTTTCTAGGACAGACAGTTAACTACTGCATCTCTGCTAGATTTGCAATTTTTATTGGTCTGGATGGAAAGACAAAATGAGAAACAAAAATATATCAGTCAAATGTTTCCTATTGAATGCCAGATTAGTTTACATTAGTTCTAATGATATTATATTAATAGAATAAAATGAGCTATAAAGGTAAGAAAGACATACATGCCAGTGGTATTTTGGGTCCCAAAAACGTTTTCAAATGTACGACAAAGTAAATTATTCTCAGGTCATATATTCTTTTGTTACTGTGCTATTTTACTGTATGCCGAGAAGCATTTGCCGATTTAAGAGTGCCAAATTGGAGAGTCATGTCTCAACTACTATGGTATATCAGCAGTAGACATCTGAACTAGGAATAGATACTGATTATTATTTTAAATGCAATTGAAATGACTGAAATTTTAGGATATTACCCATGCCTATACTGTACTTGCCACCTGTGTATAGTTTTTGAACTTTAAATTTCCTTATGAAAAGATTTAAATAATTTCAGGTTTTTAATACTTCAGAGTATGTGTATATGTGTGTGTGTTAAGCTTAACAAAATATTATTACTTCTGGACTGTTTAGTGAATGTTGGAATTGGAAGATACATTACAGCTAGTTTATTTCAATCTTCCATTTTTTGCAGAAGGGAAAGCAAGTTAAGCATAGTTATTTCCTTGAAACTACATAGTGAGTTGTAAAACAGAGGTTCTCCATTAACTTCACATATTCCTTAACTATGACTTTTCCTCAAAAAAAAAAAAAAAAAGGCAGTGGCTGTTTATCATGAATCATTAAGTTGGGGAGCTAGATCTGCAGGGATAAAATCTTCCATGGTGCTAGAGTTCTCTTTTGTGAGCTACTTCTTTGTCTCTTGAGCATATGGAGTAGTACATGGTAGAATATCCAAGAATAATGACAAACCCGGGGGTTATGTCAGTGAGGGATCAGGAAGACTATAGGCCCTCTTGCATGCTTCCTTTCTCCTTGAAGATTAGTTTATATTAAGGAAATAGAGGAAATGTCCTCTGTGTTTCAGTTTGGAATAGTAGAGCAAGTAGGCAGGATGCTGAAGGTGGGTAATGGATGGGGTGAACTCTCTCCCAAGCTTTTTCCTTGCCTTAGACCAGCACTGTCCATTAGAATGTAATGTTAGCCGAGTTTTACAATTTTCTACAATAGTAGCTACATTAAAAAGAAACAGGTGAACTTTATTTTAATAATACATTAACTCAGTATAGCTCAAATAGTATCATTTCAGAATGTAGCCAGTATAAAATTCCGCTATAGGCAGCCCTCCCGATCTACTGCTCAACCAGCTACTGATTAAAAATATTTGGAAAAAACACTGTGTATGAAATGAAATTGTATGAACTATTTTTCTTCACATTAATTCCTAAATAGTAGTGTGTAGCAGTTATTTACATAACATTAAGATTATAAATCACCTCAGAATGACTCAAAGTATACATGAGGATGTACAGAAGTTATATGCACATAAAACACCATTTTTTAGTAAGAGACTTGAACATCTAGAACTTGGTATGGGGAAAGGTAGTCTTGAAATTAATCCACACAGATACTAAGATGACTGTATGTGTGCATGAATGTGTGCACACACATGCTATGTATATATGAATGTAATAGATGAATTGATAAATGTGTTAATATAATAGGTAAATGTGTATTATATATATGGAGAGAAGGAAGTTATGTGTATATATGTCTGTATATACATATATACAGATACATATATAAATTCTTTCAGTTTCACCCTGCTTTTATATTTCATCTCAGTTCAGACTAGGAACAGTTCAGGTGCTGCAAGTTTAGAGTTTTTAGTGGCTATTACATAAGCTATAGATATGTATAGATATCTACATATCTATACATATCTATAGATTTTCCAGCTGCAGATCTGGAGCTGACTTCATAATTGTAATTTGACATTACATCACAGTTCCTAACTAAACACGCCAAATACATCCTCTGTCTTGAATTAAACAGAAGCAAACAAACATATATTACTTAAAAGGGATATTAGCAGTTCTTAGCAAATAACATACTGCTTTGATTCTGAGATATTTTCATTCTCCCATTTCAAAATTTTTGAGATTGGTGTTTTATGTAGGATTTATATGTATGATAGTCTATTTTTCCCCTTCTGAAAAGCCCTGTTGTCATGTTTTATCTCAGTGATAACACTGTAGGCTGTATTTCTGTGATCTATTAAAATCTTTTATGTACTAATAGCCAATTTGAGCATAGAGATATTTTTCCTGTCTTTCATACCGTAGGTAAAATTCTTATTCTCCAGTTTGAATAAGCTACAGTAGAAACTTTGGCCATTTTTGATTCCTACTTCCTTAAGTTCCTCACACATAGGCATCCACAATACCTTTTAGGATAGGAAATCTCAATACATAGTGTCTCTCAGGGTATGTATATCATCTCTTGCCAGGCAGGTGCCGTGCTGCTGAGCCTTATCCGCAACCCCTCCTCTTCTCTTAATATAGTTACTACCATAGTTAGGGCTACCATTTTTTTTTTTAAATTTGATCCATCTCCCTCCAATGTATTGTTTTTCCTTTCAGAATTATTGTGTATCTTGAAACAAAAAATACTTCTCTTCCTAAATACGTCCATTATTCCAGTGATACCTCTTCCAATTACTGTTCTGGCTAAACTCAATTTTAGCTTGTTCTTCACTATGCTCATGCTTTTCCTCGTGCATGAAATTACATTCTCAAACTTCAGAAACTAACAGAGGTGTTTCCATCTTTTTGATAAAAAGTTTTTTATTTCAGAAGAAGTGGGTTTATATATTCATGTGGGTATATAATAGAAAGTGGTATATAGGAGAAATTGATGTGTAATAAAAATTGCATCCACGCTTTTTGGTTTTTGGGTTTTTTGTTTTGTTTTGTTTTAAAGAAGCCTAGAAGGCTGAGGAAGTAACTCAGAGATAAAATAAGCAAGGTTAATGTTTGCCTCCCTGGGGGGACATCTAAGGAGTCTAATTATTAGAGATTTCTGCTTTGCTTATGTTGAGAAAAGTGATTTGTTTCAATTACACTAAGTTTTATGACAAGTGCTATTTAAAATTAGATTTTTGAAGTGTCCCGTGGCTCAGTACCTTACTTTGTGTCTTGGGGCCCAATCAGCTATTTGTTTGTCTTTGAGAATTTTTCTCTTGTTTTTGGAAAGTCAGCATCTGTTAAATCAGATACCTGTTTGTGGTTGTTTTTCCTGTTAAGTCTCTTACTCAGCAAATACTTGTCTTCATTATTCAAATCAGATCGATATTTCAACTCCAAATGTTCTTTTAGCACAAAAGTTACTGCAAGATTTATAAGACTGAGAAGCAGCGTGGATTGTTCTGTATAATAAATTACCAAGACAGGAAAGACTGTAAGAGTGGGCAAAAGCCTTTTACCAGGGCAATCAAAATAAGCAAGAGTGATTTATATGCCAGCTTTTCCAAGTAGGATCATTTGGCCAAAAAGTCACACTTTTTTTTTTTTTTAATTCAACCTTTTCTGTTGTTTTGTTTTTTAAAGACAGTATTTTTTTTTAAATGTTTTACTTGAACATTTTACCCCCAAAGAACCACAGATATCGTTTGTAGTAGATGGATAGATGTGCAGAAAACCATCTGTTGGACTTATATACCTATCTATAGTGAGTGAAAACAAAAACAGAGTACCTCCATAAGTTGCCAGGTGACTGGACAGTGCTGTGTGTAAACATATCTACTACTGTATTTTTAAGATATTTTCTGGACATCGAATGCAAAAAATCTTAAAACACAGGATGTGTATTACAGTCACAGAACTGCTACACATCTCATGCTAAACCCTGAGAAGATAAATAAACAGCTTGATGGGATTTTTCAGGTGAGAACAGAGAATAAGAATAAGAAAGATAGTGTCCTAGTAATTGTGAGCAACATTAAAAAGGGCTAAGAGTTAAAAATGAGGCACGAAGGAAACTGTTTAAAGGATGGCAATAAATTAAAAATAGTATTGTGTGTCTCAAAACGTATTTTTCCCATAGAGGTAGTTTGCTTTGTACTTTGCTGCCTCTCTACAATGTTCTGCCGATGGTTTTAGCACATACTTATTATTTTGTTCCAAAGGCACGTGAAGAAGAAATGACTGCGAAAGTAATGGACTTGCAAACTCAACTTGAGGAACTGCAGAAAGAATATCAGCAAAAACTACAGCAAGAGGAAAATGCTGGCAATGATAATGTGAGAGGAACTTTGCATTTTCTGCCATTTTTGTTGAAAATACTGCATTTCCATGATTTGATTCACCCAGCAATATTACATTAATTCCATTTAATCCTAACAAAACCTTTTGAAGAGATTCTTGTGTTCCTTTACAGACAGCAAAAGTAAGCATCAAAGAAGTAGAATAAAATGTTCAAGCTCACACAATAAATACTGTAGTGAAAATTTCAGTCTGATCTACCAATCTTCAGAGGATAAGTTAATACTTCTTTGTCTTTTCCATGAGGAAAAAAATAGCAAAAGAAAGTGTACCTCAGGCTGGACATGGTGGCACAGCCCTGATCCCAGTACTTGGGAGACTGAGGCAGGAAAATTGCTGCACGTTTGAGGCCTGCATGGACTACAAAGTGAGTTCAAGGGCAGCCTAAACTGCACAGTGAAACCCTGTATAGTGCTGGTCGTAGCCAAAAGTAGTCCATCCCAAGTACAATATTTTTAATTTTTATGTTTTGTGCTAAAATTTCATATAAAACTTATAGTCTACTTTATAATATATTCTTAGTTGTAGCTGCAGAAAATTGATGATTCTATACCATTCTTTTTTTTCTCTCTGGTTAATTGACTAGATACAGATACAATAAGATGATTTTGAAAAGTTGGACTAAATGAAAAGAATTAATACTGTGTACGTAGGCATTTTTATAGAAAGAAATATGCATAATTCTTACAGTAAAATTGATGATATAAAAGGGCATGTTTAACTTGTGGCTTCTTGTTGTACTGGGCAACTCAACAAGTACACACCCATAGAACTTGTGGGTTGCAGTATGAGAAGCCTGACACTATACCATCTCTGTTTCTAGAAGGTGTTCACCCAGAATGATCTTTTCCATAGCATGGTCATGAGGGCCTTGGGAAAGAGAGTAGACACCGTTCATAACTTCGAACTTTAGAAGATTGATTATACAGTGTCATTTACCAGATAACAACTTTCTAGACAACTAATTCCATTGGTCACTTACACAAAATGCAAAGAAGAACCTTTATAAAAGGTTTTTGCTATAGTCTGCCATTTAGTAGATATACCTCAGTTATAAGCACTCACCAAAGTCAGACCATTTCTCCTTTTACAAATAGCTCTTAACTTAGTTCTGTTATTTTATTTGTGTATTTATATATCTTTTGACCATTTGATCATGATTTAGTTTTATCAGGTAATATTAAATATTGCTGTTTATGAGAAATACATTTATTTTGCTAACACAAACTTAGTATCAAAATAAATATTAATGTTGCATATAGTATTATATTAGCCAGTGTCAGGATCTGTAGAGTACTGGAACATTATGAAATTAATATTCTTAAGATTTCTGAGTTCTGTACCTTGTTTCATAAGAAAGGAGAAAATACCTTAAATTTTTGTTTCTTTTGTACAGTTTTTTCCACTTGATTCTTTATGAATCTTCATCCTTTTCCTTCTTCAGCATCATTTGGTACTTCTGGATAACTTCCTGGGTTTTTCCCCTGAAATGGTCTCCCTCTGTGTTGTCCAGGCTTATCTGGAATTCTGGGGCTCAAGTGGTCTCTCACTTCAGCTTCCCAAATAGCTAAGTCTATAGATGTGTACCACTGTTTCTGGTTTCTACGTATCTTGAATTTCAGACCTGTGGATTCTGAGAAGTAGTGCTTCAGGATTTCCCTAAAAGACCTATGTGCTTTAAATAGTTTTTACTTGTTTAATTGTGAGAAATTATATAAATGACACATATATATTCCTTTTTGTAAATGAGCCAGGTAATGCACAGGTACATGGAATAAACCCCTTATTGGAGTCGTCTTCTCTTCCCAGGTGATTAAAAGTTTGATAAATGACCATTCAGTCCTTGTTCTTTGTGCTTGCCTATATTTGTGTGTAGGTATTTTATATATCAGAATAGACCAGGTTTAAAAGAAAATATTAACATCACTTTATCTCTAGACCTGTTTCCTTAAGACTGTAACATTGACTTATTTCCTTGTAATTTCATACTGCTTTATTTGATTGTTTACTAAAAGATTTTTTGTTGTTTACTAATTTTTTTTCTTTTCCACTTTCAGGCGACAATTATGGCACTACAGGTAGGATTAGCTCTTCATTGAATTCGACAGAAGTTAGTAAATCTTAGGAACATTCTTTTTTGTAAGTGAAAAATATAAAGAATCTGTTTTAATATGAAAAATTTCTCAAGCATAGAGAAGTATGTCCAGGCAACAGTGAAACCCATATACATCTCAAATGTGACTTTTTATTTTTCTAGACACAACTAGCACAGAAGACGACTGTTATCAATGATTCCAAGTTGAAAGAGCAAGAGTTTAGAGAACAGGTACAGGCTAATTGGTGTATTTTATTTTGACCTAACTTAATTTGTGGTGATAAATACTTGGATCTTATTTAGCCAATTTTAAAAAATTGACTTTGAGCTCCTTCTGTATTATGTAGGAAATTTTATTTCCCAAATCCATAGATGCTGAGGGCTATCTCTATAATTTCAAGATCACATTTGTTTAAACAAGAACATTAATACCCTGTTATTTCTGAAGTGTAACGTTTTGCATAAAAATTTCTCTTTGTATATTTTGTAATAACAAATTCTAAGAAGGATTTCTTTTAATTGAAGGTTTAAATTGCTTTTAACTCTTCTTAAATTCTAAGAAGTGTTCCTTTTTCCTAGTACTTAAATTGTCCTCATTTAATATGACTTGATATATATATATAAAATCTGTTTTATGATTTTGTGGGGGGTGTGTACGGGGAGTCAAACTCAGGACCTAAGGCTTGCCAGGCAGGCTCTGTGCAACAGAGCTATATCCTCAGCCCTGTCACATGATCTTTAATGAAGTCTTTTTCTAAACATTGGAGAAAGTGGCTCGAGTGAATAGGATGTTTGAATGCTAAATATCAAGGAATTTTCTAGTTCTCTTAAAATACAGAAATACTGACAGAAATCTTGATAATTGTCAAAACTGGGTGATAAGTGGGTATACAGACATTAAATGTACACTCTCTTCCAGGGTTGGGGGCAGGCTGTGTTGTTTTGTTTTGAGATAGGGTGTTGCTGGGCAGTTCAGGCAGACCTGGCCTTCAACCCACTATGTAGCCCAGGTTGACCTCAAATTCATGGCAATCTTCCTGCTTTAGTCTCTTGAGTGGTGGAATTACAGGTATATGCCACTATGCCTGGTCCCCTTATTTGAGTATGTTTGAAAGTTAATATATTTTTAAAGTTTCATGTTAATATAATATTGATAAATTTTTAAAATACCATCTTGTATGGATATGCACTTCATCCATTCATCTGTTGGTGGACATTTGGATCGTTTCTACCTTTTGACATTAGTGTGTTGCTAGGATATTTGTGTTTAATTTTTGTTTAAACACCTGTTTCTTATGCTTTGCATATACGTATACCCAGGAATGGAATTGCTTGGTAACATAGTAAGACTATGTTTAATCTTATTTTGGTGGGCCCAAGCCAGGATTTTATACCAAACTACATCCCTAGCCTCTTTTTTTCATTGTAATGTTTCAAATTTTGAGACAAGGTCTCACTAAATCAATTAGTTGTCCACGTTGGGCTCCAACAAACTTGGCAATTTTCCTGTTTTGGGATTATAGGGCTGTGCTTTCATGCTTGGGAAACTTGTCAACAAAAACTGTTTTCCAAATACCTGTAGCTTTTTTATATTTTATCAACAATATACATGTATAAGGACTAAAATTTCAACATACCTTCTCCCAGGTTTTTTTTTATCATAATCATCTGAATTAAGATGAAAGAAAATGTCATTGTGATTTTAATTTGTATTTCTCTAATGTCTGACCATGTTAAGCAGCCTTCAGAATTGTCTCCTCTCTGTCTCTCTCCCTCCCTTCCTTTGCTTTCTTCTGTGGATTCAACCTGGAGGTGCTCTACCGCTGAGCTGGATCTCAGCCCTTTTTTATCTTTTATTTGAGGCAGGATCTCACTAAATTCAGGCTGGCCTTGAACTGGTGATCCTTCTGCCTCAGGCTCCCACATAGCTTGGATTATAGGTATACGCCACAGTACCCAGCTATTTTTTTCAGTTTGTGCTGCTATCCTTTGATATGCAGAAATTTCTAAGTTTAATAAAATTCAGTTTATATATTTTTTATTTTATTGTGTGTACTTTTGGTTCCTGAGAAACTGTTTATTTTAGTATTATTCTTTAATATTATTTTTTAATATCATTTGCCTATACCCTGTCTTTACCATTAAAAATCTAATGGATACAAGAGTCCTTTTTTTATGTGGTTTCCATTATGAATCTTACCATGTGGTTTGAATGTTATTTTTAGATTCACAATTTAGAAGACCGTTTGAAGAAATATGAAAAGAATATGTATGCAACAACTATCGCAACACCTTATAAAGGTAAGAATGATTTTTTTTATGTCGTGTAATTCATAATTATCTCTTATTGGTAGATTTATGGATGACTTATTTTTATCTTTGTTAGTTAGATATGTTCTTTATTTTATTTTTAGTTTTTATTTTTTTTGTACTGGGAATCAAATTCAGGATGCTTGCCAGGCAGGCGCTATGCCTTTGAGTTATATCCGTGGCTCGTTCTTTTCTCTTGCATTTTAAATTATGTGGTTTTTTTTTTTTTTTTGTTTTTAGGGGGTTTTTCTTGGTACTGGGGATTAAACTTAGGACCTTGCACTTGCTATGCAGGTGCTGCACCACTGAGCTATTATCCCTGACACAAAATTACATTTTCTAAATTGACAAAACTATACGTTTACATAATATTTTGAAATAAATATTCATTGTGGAATGAATAAATTGGGCTCAATATTCATTATCCATGTACTTAACATTTTTTGTGGTGAAAATATAAAATGTCTCATAGTGAAATTAAATTTTTAGTATATGTGCTGCCAAAACGAGCACACATATTGATGTTAAAGAATATGATATACTATTAAATATAGTCAACATGCTATACAGTAGATCTCTTGAACTTATTTCACCACACTGAATTATTATGTCCTTTGAACACATTCTATCCTGTTTCTGTTACCATATTGTTTGTATAAATTTTACTTTTTTAGATATTGTATACAAATGAGATTATGCAATGTTTATCATCTTTTAGCTGGCTTATTTCATTAACGTAATGTCCTCCAGGTTTAGCCATATTGCCCCAAATGACAGAATTTTTCTCTTTTTAAGACTGACTTGAATTTGTTTTTGCTAATCTGTATTTGTTACAATAAGTATGTTTTGCCTTTATTACTTTACCAGTAACAATGAGTTTGAGTAAAAAATGACAATAGTCCAAAACAAAAATTACTACAAAATTGTTTATAAAAGAAAATGCTACAGGTATAAGAGAAGCTATAAGTTCTTACTTTATTTTCTAGCCTATAAAGGCCCAATTGATAATTTGTGTGTGTTTTTACCAGGTTTTTCTGATGTGTGCAAACATTTATGTAATACATTATATACACTTAACATAAATACTGTTGGTCATATGTTTTAGGTTTTTTAACTATTATAATGCTATAATTGCTCGTTTTAAAACAAGGCTTAAGGAGAAGATAATTTCATAAAATTCTTCTTTCAGGATGGGAAAGGATGATTTTTTCTGAGTTTGAGTAGAATATTCTGCTTCCAAAGGGTTTTAAAGATTAGCTTGCGCCGGGGATTTGGCTCAGTTGCATAAGCACCTGCCTGGCAAGTGCGAAGTCCTGAGTTCAATCCCCAGTAGCGCCAAAAAAAAAAAAAAAGATTAGCTTGAGTCTTTATGTAATGATCTTTTAATAACCTTATAACAATTATCCATTCTCCTAAGTTTCAGTTTCAGTGCTTCCCTGTATTAAACATAGTTTAATTTTGCTAAATGTTTTAAATAACTTTATGCTTTCTTAAAGAAGGCACAGGGACATCAAAGTCACTTAGCCTTTTTTAAAAAGCTCTTGTATGAAACACATAAGATACTATGCAGGTTTTTTTGCTTATGTGTAGAGATTCAGTCTGTGGTAGGCAAGAGTTGTACTGCTGAGCTGTACCTGCAACCCTTTTATTTTGAGGCAGGGTCTTGTAATCCTTTTTCCTCAGCCTCCATGAGTAACTGGGGTTGTAAGCCAGAAGCATGCCTGTACAAATATTGCTCTTCAAAAAGCATAAAAATTGACCTAGTAATTTTCTATGCTCTCTGCAGAGATGATTCTTGCTACAAAGACTGTTTTCCGTAACTAAGCTAATATTTGTGATTCTCGTCATAGAACTATACTGAATCAGTGCTCAGCAGGACTTAGAGAATGGTTGTGATTCTTTTTGTTAATTCCCATTTAAGAATTTCATACATAATTTTTTTAATTCCATGAACATTTATATAGTTTATTTCATAGTTAGCAAACATATAATACTTAGTGCCAACATTGTTATATTTACTATATCAACTCAAGATACTTGGTAGAACATCCACATTAATCTGTTCTCTATGCTGCCTTTTTAAAGAGTATGAGTAAAATGAACACCCTCCTTTTAGAGAAAAATAAAATGTATGCTCTTTAGAAGTCTTTCTATGCATCTCCTCATATTATCTTTATCCCTCCCTTCATACTTACCCTCCCCAATTTTATGTTAGTTATTCTTCTTTCTTTTCTCATTATTATCTGTGTATAAATCTGATACTTGAACTGGAAGTATTTTGTTTTGAACCTTTATTTGATATAATAATATTGTGCAATTTTAAGTTTTTTTCTAATGCATTTTTATTAGTACATAATCTTACTCAATGTAAGGTTTGAGAGTCATCCATATTGTATATAACTGTGCTTCACTCATTTTCATTATATTAAATTTATAATTGTCATACATGTTTCCTAGTAGTGTACGTGTTTCCTAATATATACATGTGAAAACGTTTCTTTGTATTATACAAATAAGAAAGGAATGGTAGATGACAGCATGTGAACATTATTGTACATATTTCCATACTGAGTTAAGCCATTTTTCTGTGTATTTTGCATGAAGTGTTCTCAGCACTGCATTTCCTCATCAGTACTATGTATCTGAAAGCCCTTTGAATTCTGTATAGTGGTATTCCATGAATTTCATTTATAATTTGTAATAGATTGAGCCTCTTATGTTCATTGTTCTGTTTGCTCATTCATTTTATCTTTGTGTGTTTCTTTTGTGAAGTGCCTATTTGCATTTTGTGTCCTTTAAAATTAGATTGTCATTTCTTAATGATTTGTAAGTTATATGTGTTGCAAAGATCTTGTGCTAATGTCTTCTTTGTTAATAATCTCTTCCTTTCAAACATTTTAAGATAGAAATTTTTATACATATAGAAAAATGAGTATAATACATAATGAACATACAGTTTCACATCAGCAAACTTCAGCAGTTATTAACACATAGCTAGTCTTGTTTCATCTGTACTGCAGTCAGTCTTTTTTATATTTTCTACTGAATTATTTTAAAGTAAATTATTTCATACTTACACATTTCAGTGACGATGTACCTCTCTTCATAGCATTTTAAACAGTATAAGTACAGTTAAATTCACAATAATCCTTTAATTCTGTCAAATGACCAGTCAATATCCAAATTTACTATAGTCTGATGTGTTTTCTTCTTCTGGTGGTTAGCAACTGGTTCCTACTTTATATACAAGATATTTACACACATCTAAAGATAAAAATCAGTTCCAAGTGGTTTAATGCTTTAAAGGTGATAAACAAAACAGAATTTAGAGATGAAATTTTAAAATTTTTATTTGCATGTGTATATACATCTTGTATGTAAAGTAGGAACCTAATTTCAGATTACTTCATCATGACCAAAAATGTTAATTGTGTTAGGTACAGATTTCTAGATAATGAGTAATTTTTTTCCTTGACACTTGGAAGTTATTACTCTATTCCTGTATTAACTATTAATTTTGTTGTTGAAAACTCTCTTGGTCTGAACATCTGATAGTCTTTCTCCAGTTGGTAATGTGTGTCTTGTCTTGGATTGATTTGAGGGTGTTTCTTCATTGATGTTATGCAAGTTCACTATAGTTTGTGCAGGTGTGAATTTACTTTTTCTATTTCCTATACATTGTACTTTCTGCATTTGTGGATTCTAATGTTTGTTAGTCCTGGAAAATCCACAGTGATTGTTTCTTCAGATCTTTCCTTTATTCTCACATTACTGGATCTTCTCATCTTATATTATCATTGACCCTTTTAAGAGTATTTTATCTCTGTTATTCTGGGCTGAATTCTGAGTATTTCATCTAGTTCTTCAAGTTACTAATTTTCTTACGTAGCTCTCTGTAACAATTTTCAGGCCACTCACTAATTTTTTTTTGTACTGGGGAGCAAACTCAATTCATTAATTTTTTAATCTCTCAATTACATAATTTTTATTTTTTAGAAGTTTTTTTCTCCTTTTTCTTATCTTGCAGGTCACTGTAGTTCATTGTTCATTTTTCTTAATACTATCTTTGTTATTTTAGAAAAAGTTTTAATGAAATACAATCTACATGTCATACACTTCACCCATTTAAAATGTCTAATGCTTTTAGTGCATTCAAAATTATGTAGTTATTATCATAATCAATCTTGGAACTTGTATATCACGCCAAAAAAGATACTTTCGAACTTTTATTAGTCATCTCTCTTTCTCTTCAGTGCTAGGAAACCACTGTTCTTCTTTTTGGTTTCTAGACAATTTATATATCTTAGATTTTCATATAAATTAAACTGTAAAAAAATGTGACCATCTGTGATGCCTACTCTCAGTTAGGATAATATGTTCAAGATCACCCATTGTAAACAGCACAAATCAGTACTTCTTTCCTCTGTGGTTAATATTTCCTTACATGCATGTAAGGAAATGAATAATTTTATTCATTATTCATCTGTTGAACATTTTGCTTGTTTCTACTTTGGGATATTCTGAATAATTTGTGTGAACTGTGTTAAGCTTGGAGTAAGATTTCTGAGACTTGTAGCTCTGTTTCACTGTATAAGAGATTTCTAGACTGATTACCAAAGTGACCGTACCATTTTATAGCTTCATCCGTAGTGCGTGAAGCTTCCAGTTTCTCTACTTTCTTGCTAACTCTTGTACTGTCTTTTTTTCCATCCCAGTGGGTGTAAAGTAGTATCTTATGAATTCAGTGTATTTCCTAGATGGCTATTGATAGCATTTGTGTGTAGGTGTGTGTGCTAACTAGCTATTTTACATGTTCTCTTCAAAAAATATCTTCTGCTCATTTTTTAATTGGGCCATCTTTTTTTGAGTTTTAAGAGTTCTTTAGGTACAGATCACTTACGAGGGAAATGGTTTGCAGATATTTCCCCCCATTCTGTGGGTTCACTTTTCAGTTTCTCAATGATGTCTTTTGAAAGCACTAAAGTTTTTCATACTGATAAAGTCTGTTTTATCTGTTGTTCGTGGTGGTTTTGATTGTGCACTTAATGTCATTCCCAAGAATCTATTCCCTATTCCCTACAGTAATTGCAAACATTCTTGAACTTTTAATGCGGAACAGTTGATGGTGGCACATGTACCATAGGTTTGCCATCACTGCAAGGTCATAAAGGTTTACACCTGTTTTTTCTTCAAAGAATTTTATAGTTTTACTTACTCAATTTATATCTTTAATCGATTTTGAGTGAATTTTTGCATACAGTGTGATATAAGGGTCCAGCTTCATTTTGTGTGTGTTCACTTATCCCAACACTATTTAGAAGCTGATTTTTCCCCTCATTAAACTGTCTTAGCAATCTTTTTAAAAATCAATTGTCAGTATGTGTTAATTTCTAGACTCTTGATTCTTTTCTATCAGTGTGTGTGTGTACACATATGTGTGCATATATGTATATAATATATATCACCTTATTTTCACAATCTTTTTCTTTCTTTCAGTTCTGAGAATTGAACCTAGGGCTTCATAAATGCTAATCAAACACTTTACCACTGAGTTATATTCCCAACCCCCACAGTGTCTTGATTACTGTTGTTTTGTATTCAGTTTTGAGATTGTCAGGCATGAATCTTTCAACTTTGTTCTTTTTCAAGATTGTTTTGACTTTTCTGGGTCCTTGAATTTCTATTTGAATATTGAGATCAGCTTAATTTCTGCAAAGATACAAGGTGGCATTTTGATGAAGATTGGGTTGAATTTGTATATGTCAATTAGAAGAATAATTGTGTTTTAGAAATATTGTCTTCTAGTCCATGACTGCAGATGTCTTTCCATTTATTTAAATCTTTTAAATTTTTTGAATAGTGTTTATAGTTTGGGAGTGTATACATTTTGCATTTATTTTGTTAAATTTGTTCCTAAGCATTTTATTATTGAATCTTTGATAATTAAAATTGATTTTTAAATTTCATTTTCATATTGTTCATTGCAAGTGTATTGTAATGCCATTAAAGTTTGTATGTTCTTATATTCTGCAAATCATTGAACTTACCTCTCAGCCTCAGTTTTTTAGTGGCTTCTTTAGGATTTTCTATAAGCAAGATCATGGCATGTTCAAACAGAGAGATTATTTCTTCAGTACAGTTTTTTATTTAAATATTTTAAACATAGCTTATAACTTGTGATAATTTTATTATCAAGATGTTTCTGAGACATCTGTTACTCATTATTTCTGCAAATTCTTGCTCATGGAGGCTTATCTCTTGTGTTATAGTCATTTTTGTTTTCTTTTAAAATTAAGTATTTGAGTGTAATCTGTTTGTTAATTTGGATGGGCTTAGTATAAGGCTTTTGACAGAATTTCATTTGTATCTTGTAGGTTCCTGGAGCATGACTAGTCTTTAACAAGTTTATTTTCTTAGTTTTACAACTTAGTTTTACAGCCTGTACCCTGAAGTAGACCTGTGGTCACACATTCTCAAGGGAATCTTTTTTTTTTAAAGTGAGCAGAGGCAAGGATACGCTCCTTAATAAATTGCCTTTTATATAGGCAGTGCCTACTTTATATTAGGCAGTGTAATTTTAGCTCTCCCATGTTGCGAGGACCCTAACCTAACCTTTGTTTTCTTACCAAAACTTCAGACACTGCCCAGATTCCCATTTGCCTTGCTGTCACTTGCATGGTTTCATTTCCAGTGGCCCTTTGCCTTCCATCTTCTTATGATCAGGGATCATTTTTATATATAGTATCTAGATGTTTCTTGGTAGTGTGTGTCAGGTGATCTGTTGTACCATACTACTTGAACTGGCTACAAGTACAAATTGTAGCTAGTGCATTGATGAATTCACTCAGATTAAAGTTTGTCATTGTGTATCAGAATAAGTTTAGGCTTCACTTTTGGACTGAAATGGGACTTCATTAATAATATAAAGTTTATGAATTTTAAGATATCAGATTTCAAAATTGCTATAATGGCATTGTCTTAAGCACTTTGGTTATTTTATCTATCCTGTATTTCAGAATGGTTTTGAGGGCCAGGAATATAGCTCAGTGGCATAAGCATCTGCCCGACAAGCACAAGGTTAAGTTCAATTCCTGATACCAAAAAAGAAAAAAATTGGTTAAAAAACTAGATTTAAACTAATTATTTTTAGATTGTAATATTAGAAAATCTAGAACAATATTTTGAGGTACTTAATGATTAATAAAATAGTAATTTTATTAAATAAAATATAATTATTACTATACATACTATACATAGTATGCATATATATACTATACTATCCATATAATACACATCCTGATACCATATGTTTATTAGATCAGACATGCTAATATTAGTAATATAGTAAGTAAAATAAAAATAGTAATTTTAGTTATTGTGGAATATCTGAAACCAATCACCTAATATTTAGAAGAGAAATAGCAATGCTAAGGAATCTTTGTGCTACCCAGGTAATCTTTTAAAATTTCTCTACTGAAAGAAGGAAGAGGGAAACAGTGTGTGAAAAAGAAAATTGTTATAATTTTGGATTTTTCTTCCCAGTATACCAGTATGACTGTCTAATATGTATGTTTGTATATAGTGTAGTTAATATAAAGTCAGCACCTATCTTTGTTCCATTGTTTTTAATGTGTTCATTTTCTGAGTAAAAAATAATTATATAAGCTGGTTATGATTTTACAATTTGATTTGTCTTTTATTTGACAGGTGGCAATTTGCACCATACTGATGTCTCGCTCTTGGGAGAACCAACTGAGTTTGAGTATTTACGAAAAGTACTCTTTGAGTATATGATGGGTCGTGAGACTAAGGTATAAATCATGCTTGATGATTTGGTACAAGGCTCAATTTGAAAAGAAAATGTCCCCCTTATAATACACATGTTAATACCATATGTTTATTAGGTCATACATGCTAATAATAGGCAATAGGTGATTATGTTACTGCTCTTAGTTAACAAAAGTAAATTGGAATATTTTTTATTTGTTATATTTACAAAATGTGAATTTTTAAATTGCTGTTAAATACTAAAAATTAAAACTTCATTAATTTAAAAATTATTTATGAGCTGAGTATGGTGGCACACACCTATAATCCCAGCACTCTGGGAGGCTGAGGCAAGATCACAAGTTTGATCCTAGCCTCAAACTTAACAAATCTGTGTCTCAAAAAAAAAGGATTGAGGATGTAACTCCATGCAAAAGCCCTGAGTTCAGTCTCCGTACAAAATAATAATAATAATAAATAATATAAGGATAATAATAATGTGGAGCATGTGGCTACTTTTCTTCTTGACTTCAAGTCTTAAAATTAGAAAAATTCATTTCAGTGAGACTTTGGGATATTCTGGGTAGCACTGGAAATGGTCATAATTAGCAGGAATTAGCATAATTCTCAGGAAGATTTAGAAATGCATTGCTTTAGTAACTATAAGAAAATCATTCCTGGAGAATATTGATCATTTTAAAATTACCACATGAAGTAATAACACTTGGCTAATTTGTCTTCTAGGCTACTGCTTTTACTGTAAGGTCCTTGAGTGTCAAGTCTTGCCTTTTTGTATCCTGTGCAGTATTTTTAAAAAGAACCTTTATAGAGATTTTGAATTGTATATTTTGGATAAAATACATGAACCTTGTGCCAAACGAACTTTTTCATTTTAATACTTTCTTTGATATTGTCACGACTATTTATTTTCATAGAATTTTACATTGTTTGTGTGTCTTGGATAGGATAGTGAGATTTCTAACCTTGAAAGGGAATCAGTGTTTTAATGTGTGGCTGTGTTGGGGGTTACTGAGAGAAAATGCTAAGGCAGTTCAGGCAAGGGTTTGGCAAATACATTTAAAATTTAAAAAGCAAAACCATAAGAAACTATTTTAAAAGAATATTATAAATATGTAGGTTTGAGATTCATCTAGATTCATTTGAATTCTTAATATTGGTAGAAATTATATTTCATTGCATCAAATAGTTTTCAGACCAAAATAATATTTAAAATGATCATGAACATGTCTCACAGGAAAGAGATTTATCAGTTCACAACAACTCAGTGTCATTTGTTTCTTAAGAAATCTCATTTTCCAAGAACAGCGAAATTAATTTTATCTTTTTAAAAAATAGAGCTAATAAAATACAGCTTTCTCTTATTATGTTCTTATTGGTTGTAAAATAGTAGCCAGTACTCAGGTCAGGTAGATAAAATTACCTTGCAGTTGCATACTGATTAGAAAAGAGAAACTTAGCTTTTTTTTTTGTCTTTTTTCATTTTTATGGGTACCAGGAATCGAACTCACGATTGCCTGCTTGCAAGGCAGGCGCTTATGCCGCTGAGCTAAATCCCCAGCCCCGAGAAACTTACCTTTAAAAAAAAAAAAAAAGCCTCTCAGAACACTAGCTACCTCAGTACATGAGTAGATATAAAGCTATAATGAAAGTGTCGTTGGTGAGTGACTTACTTAACCTTCTATGTTCTATAGAGTAAAGAGACTGGCTGCTTTACCATGTTTCTTCTGAAAATAGTGCATGTTAGTAGAATTAGATCTTTCTGGAGTTTGATACACCTCTCTCCCCAAGGGAGACCCAGCACAACCATAAGATGCATTGTGGGGCAGTACAGGTTCAGGCAAGTCTAAGTTTGAGCTTCCTGGGCCCTCCAGTTAATTTTAGGTTGTGTCTTGGGATACAACTGAAAAGGTTGTCCTATGGTGCAACAGTCCCATCTAACAGCAAACTAGAACTCCGTATTAAGGAAGAGTGCTTGCTGTCTTTATCTTCATTCATTGTGCCTTTCTGACTAGTAAAAATGACTAGTCTGTTATTTTGCCATTGTATTTTATTGGTAAATATAAGAATTGGTAACAGGTTTATTTACTGTATATTTACTGAGCAGTTAACTTCATGTGGCTGTTTATCACCATAATGAATAGTAAAATGGAGTTTGATACCATCTCTAATTTAGAGCTCACCCTGTAGTTAGAAAGTGGAGCTATTCTCAGATAACCATATGAGTAATGTGATGCAGAATGTAGTGAACCTTAGTAAGGGCCTTAAGAGAAGTACTACAGTACTAATATTTACTTGTGTAAGGCTTGAGGACTCATGGAGTTGGTGTGTATATTGAGCTTTAAGCAGACAGATTAGATTTTGATGGATGAGCTCAGACAGCAGAGACACCCAGATAAGGTCCAAGACAGGAAGTGGCATGTGGGTTTCTGGAATGACAAGTAATCTCATCCAATTGAAACACTATTCTGTGAGGTAAAAGTAATTCCACTTAAGATTGTACAGAGTGTGGAGTGCCTTGAATATTTTCAGTTTTACCTGGGATAGCCCTGAAGTTTTTGAGCAGGGATTAATGAAATCAGACCCCTTTTTTAGATTTATCTTTTGCTCATTTGCATAATTTCTGTATGTTAACAAATAATCCAAAATGAAAACCAGGTTGTGTTTCAGAATGAACCAAAATGTTGTTTCTTGTCTAGCAGTCTTGTATATTATCTATCCTGTGTTTTTTCATCTGCTCTTGCAAACAGCATTCTTTTATTTTATGGGCCACCTCTCCCCCTTCTTGTCCCCTTTTTTTTCCTTCCTCTTTGCCTTCCCTTTCCTCCCCTCTTTCCTTGCTTCCTTTACTAGAGATTGAACCCAGGGCTTCCAGGAGCAATATCCCCAGCCCTTTATTAAAAAATATTCAAAAAAAAATTTTTTTTGGAGACAAGGTTTTACTGTGTTCCTGGGGTGGGCTTAAACTCGTGATCCAGACAATTTTAACTATATTTAGTATACCTAGTCTTGTAGTATGAAGTTAAGCAGACCCTTTTTTCCCCCATGGTTGAATTTTTTTTTTTGGTAGTTTATATCCCCCATATTATCACTGATACTGAAATTTAGAGCCTCTCCCCAAGAAAAATCTTGCAGGAGCAGCCTGTCCCTTACTTTGCAGGGTGTAAGGATGTGCTATGTAGACAGTCTGATTTCTTTCCCAAGGTGTGGCAGAGAGTTTGAGCTTCCCCATTGAAGTATTTTCTGCCAAGCTTTAAGGTTTTACTTAGTAATCAGCTGCAAATTCTGGGTCGCTGATGAATTTTGAAGTATGTTTATCATTTAATGTCTAGAAATGCAAAAAGACAAATAGCCAGTTTTTTTTCTTACAAGCATCCTTGTCCATGCGTGTATATTGGTTTTATAATGAATATAAGTGGACTTTCTAGTTCTTTGAGCTTGATGTTATATTGAAATTAGAGAAGTGTTCCCTGTAACGGTGGACCCTTGAATTTTAAATTTTTGTTACTCCTATAGTAACAGGAAGTTGTGTCAGTGTTAAAAAAAGGAGAATACTGAAATGTTCACTCACTGCTTCCTGTTTCTCTTGCCATTTCATGCCACGTACGTAACTTGGTTTCTAGTCTTCAGGTTAGCACATAAGATTGTGTTCTATTTAGTTAATATAACTTAGAAATGCTTATATAAAATGCCTTAGAAACTCTTCAAGAGCTATGTTGTTTTAAATGTTGTTTTTGTTTGTAATCATCAAAATGGCAGAAGCAGAAACAAAAAAAGTGAGCTGAAACTAAAATCCTGCTATTGTTTGACAAACAATATTAGTCAATCCGTTAGCTGAAAAAGGATTAGAAATTCATGAAGTATCTTGCCTAGGTTTGGTATATAATACGAATATTTTAAAAGTTCCTTTCTTTCCTGAAAATAATTCTACTTTTTTCCTAGCAATGTATTTGCAAACCTTTGATTAATAATATTGTGTCATCCTTTTCTTAATGACTTTCCCTGTAATCCCGCTCCCATTCCCTCCCCTACACAAAGAGTCTATGTAATTATAAACAAAGTGTTAAGAGTTACTTTTTTGGGCTACTCTGTCATTCACTATAGGAATTCCCACGTGACTTTGTATGTAAGCACTGAATTTGTTATCCTACTTATTTCATAAGTGGTATCTTCTTTCCTCTCTGTCTCCCTCAAAACATCTCATCTTGATACAAAATAGGGAGTTTCAGCCTTTGAGGAGAATTTTCCAGGAGCTTATGGGTGACACTCTGACTTACGGTATATTTATTTAGATCTGCACAATTTATGATCTTGTTTTGCAAGCCACCATGTGTAATGTTTTGATTCATCATGTTTTTACCTCCCTCTCCCTGCCAAAAAAACATCTTGTGTTTATTTAAAATGTAATTTGTATTTCTATTAGGCTACTGTGCTGCATGTCTTGAAAAATACCTACTAAGCATGTTCATGTTCATGCAGTAGCCCGTGTTGATGAGATATATGATGTGATTTAGTAAAAGCTTAATGGGGTGGGAGCACCTGATCCTGACTGATTAGGATATATATTTTGGCAATACATATCCTTATAGATTTCTTCAAATGGAAAGACTTAAAATATTAGTAATAAAGTTACATCTTAATAGGACAAAGGGCCAAGAGCATTAGATCTTTATGTAGCTGTATGCTATTGGAAATGCATCTTAAAATAATATAATCATTGTGAGGAGTCCTTTTCAATTGAAATTCTAGTTTTGGCTGTTACAGTATTTCCTTGACTAATACCTTCACATCATACTTCTTTGTTCGTGGCTTCCATTGCGAGCACTAAAGAATCCCACCAGCAGAACATGTCAGAATGGGTTGGGACTTCATCTGCTTCATTTGTGATCATCTCTCGTTTTTTCTTCTAGACCATGGCAAAAGTTATAACTACCGTACTAAAGTTCCCTGATGATCAGACTCAGAAAATTTTGGAAAGAGAAGATGCGCGGCTAATGGTAAGCTTTATAACTGGATTATAGATAGAAGATGAATTTATTTCATCAATTTATATTTCATTTATAATGAATTTAAGTTGATAAAAAGAAATGAAAATTTTTCAGATTTTTATCATACTACAGCCTAAGAAGCGAGAGTGTAGTTACCTTAAGAAAGTTTTACTGAAGGCAAGCCTTCAAGGAGCAGAGCAGTCTTAGCATGTTTGATGGTGATATGGATGTGAGCTATTTTTGAGAAGGACAGAAAAGACATTTGTTCCAGTATAATAAGTTTTAAATTAAATGTACCATGATGTTTTATAGATTACAACTCCTTATTCTATTTCAGTTGATTTACATATGTGTATTCTAGGTGGAAAAGTTAAGCTTTTTTAATCTTTTGATGTGTTATAGCAAAAAGATAAAGAAGCAACTAAATTATACTTCATCAGTTATGCAAAACTTCTCATGCCTGATTTCTTTTTGCCCTGACCTGGTCATTCAGCAAGACATACACCATTATAGCCAGGGTGTGAATCTTGTGAATTTTGTGTCCTGACCTTTGCTGTTCTTTCTGCTTTCTTTCTCATCTTGATAGAGGTCTGCAGAGCTCGCTATACCTTCCTTTTAATCTCTTTACTTGTTTCATGATCCCAGTGCTGCTTTTATTTTCTCTGTCCTCACAAAAGCAAGCAAATACATTCTCCTTAGTGGTGGATTAATGCATGTCTGACTATCTCCAGTAAAAAGAACTAAATTAGTAAGTCCCAAAGTATCTCATTGTATCTTGGCATTCAAGGTTTCCTAAAAAGCATTCATGCTTATCTTGACCCCAAATAACCTATTCTTTAGTGGTTACCTATTCAGTCTGTATGTTGGGTTCTGATATCTCCAGCATTTAGCCATTTATGAAGTTCTTTATTCTCACCCTGTGCAAGAAGGGAATCAGTCTAGAATGAAGCTCAGTGCCCCATGTGAAGTCTGACCATCTCTTCTTAGCTTCTTCAGGTTGATCCTAGCATCCCTGGACTTTTTCCCAGTAATCCTTTGAGTGTGTGTGTGTGTGTGTGTGTGTGTGTGTGTGTGCGCGCGCGTGCATGTGTGTGTGTTGTCTATTGGTCTATTATTAGAAATTGAACTCGGATCCTGCTGCATGGTAGGCAAGCACTGTGCCATTGAGCTGCATCTCTAGCACATTGGTTTTTTTGTTTTTTTTAAAGTCTTGAAGGCGGTCTCACTGAGTTGTCAGGATGGGCTCAAACTTATAATATAAACATGCACACCTTCCTTGGCCTGGTTGCATGCTATTTATCAATAGAGGAAATGTTTTAAATTAGAACAGGTTTCTGATTCTGTGTAAGCATGTAGTTATTCAGAAGAGAAATTTCTTCATTAAGTAAATAACTTTTTGTGAAAAGAAGACTCTCCAATGAAGTTTAGGCTGTTGGGGCATGATTCTATCATCATGGTTTAAAGAAATATTGTTAAGTGATATGAAAGAGATTTTATTTAGTTACTTATTTTTAGCTTATGGGCTTTCTGTTCATTATTGTCCTGATGTTAGAGTGTAGCAAACTCTGTCATCTATTGGACTACAGTTTGTTAGAATTTACTATGTAGGACAGATGCATCCTAAATCATTGCTCTACAAATGTTACAGAAAGCATTGCTCTTCATTCTTTGCATACAGGCTGTCTTAGGTTGGTTTATTTTGATGAAAAACTAATGAAATTGATAAATGTAAATAGTGAACCATGTAAAAAACTTAAGACAGAAAAAGTTTCATTTTAACTGACAAGAAATTTTCAAAAAAATATTAAACTCTGTTCCTGAACAGTTTTCATTCTAACTAGGATGAAATAATGGCTGGCTGATCCTTCCTCAAATGACTTTTTATCAGAGGCTAACCTGCTAAACAGAGTATCCCATTCTTCTACTTCCTTTAAATAAAGCCTCATCCATCATTATTTTTTTCTTATTGATCAGTTACTCTTTAAGTTGTTAAGGGGAATATAGAAGAATTGATGATACAGAGGATATGATTGTTGACCTTGGAATCTTTAATTTTAGAGGATAAATTCATATATATTCATTCATATATAAAGATATGCCTATGTAGTATAATTTTAAAAATAATATAGATGCTTATGAAATTAGTTATAATGAGCATGAAGTGAAAAAGATCTCAAAATATGAGATGATTTAATAAATTCATCAAATTGAGTCACCTTTTTATCAGTCCAAGGAGATTCTTGGCACTTATCTGACATAGTGACTTATGATTGTTTTGTGTTATCTTTAAAAAATTTCATTTAGAAAGTTTATTGTAATTTGGTGACAGATCTTTCCTTGGAATTGAAAGATGTCTTTGTTATACAGAAACCTCCTCTTCACAGTTTCCTTGGAAGAACATTTAACATATTTTTTTTTCTTACAGTACGGGCAAAACATTTTGGTGGTACTGGTGGTGGTACTAAGGATTAAACCTAGAATCTTAACAATGAACTGTATCTCCAGTGCACTCCAAATATTTAAAATGGTGGTTTTTTGGGTTTTGGTTTTTTTGAGATAGGATCTTACTAGTCACAAAGTTGCCCAGTCTGGGCTGCAATTTGTGGTGGTCTTGGTTTAGCTTCCCAAAGTGCTGAATTTATAGACAAGTACCACCACACCCAGTTTTAGAGAACTAGAAAAATTTATTGACCTAAGTCTACATGTCAATTTTCTTGATGATTTAATTGAAAGAAAATTTTTCTTCATTAAGAAATGTTTTATTCCCCATCCACTTGTCATTTTTTTGCAGTTGATATATTGACTTTATTTCTGTTTCACTTTCACTCTGATCCTTTGTGTTTGCTTGTTGTTTGGTAGTTCTTAAGATGGAATTCATGGCCTCCCACATGCTAGGCAAGTGCAAGCTACAACCCCAGCCCCGTGTCTAATTCTTGATGAGTCCTTCCCTAACCTAGCATTATACTATATGCCTTAATTTTCTGTTTATGCAGGTTTGTGGGTTTTTTGGTTGTTGTTGTTGTTGATATTGTTGAGTTTTCAAAATGATCAGGACTTTTGCTCCTTTTTTTTTTTTGGTCTTTTTCCTTTTTATCGGTACCAGGGATCGAACTCACGACCGCCTGCTTGCAAGGCAGGTGCTTATGCCGCTGAGCTAAATCCCCAGCCCCCTTTTGGTCATTTTTAAATACAAAAGTTTTCCATTCCATCATGAGATATACTTTTCCCTTTGCTTGCAAAAAAGATACCTGCAAGGTGGATTTGGAAAACATTCATATGAAAATGACACATAGTAAAAAGCACTACACATGGAATTTTTTATCATGAAAGGTTTTTGGGTTTTTTGTTTGTTTTTTTTGAGACAGGATCTCATTCAGGCTGGTCTTGAACTCACTGTGTAGCCCAAGCTGGCCTGGAACTCACATAATCCTCACACAGGCGTGTGTCACCACACCCGGCCATGAAATGGTTTGGACTCAAGTATTGTTAGAATAAGGTAATGTGGGATCACTATAACTGATGTTGCAAACAATTCAGAGACATCACACAGGAAGTCCTTCATCATTTTTAACCTCCAGACTGTTTCCACATGCCGAGGTCATCTCTGTTAATTACAGATTTATGATTATTCCTTTAGCACTTGTTTTATTTTATGAAAATGAGAGTATGTAACAGTTTGATTTTTTTTTCACTTAGTTTATTCTATTCTACCTCATTGTGAAATCATCTGCCTCATTCTTTTTAATGATTAGTTGAGTGATTATATAGATGTTCACCAGTTTTCCCATTATTCCATTCATTTAGGTGGTTTTCAGTTTTTTAGAACTTACAAGGATGGATGTAGGGAATATCCATACATATGTTTTGCGCATTTATGCAGATTTTTCTATAAGATATTAACTGTGTTGTGTTGTGTTTTGTGTTGCAGAACATTTTCCAGTTTGTCTTTTGATTTTTCTGCTTTTACTAACTTCACATTAATATAATTAAAATGACACTTTGTAATTTGGTTGTATTATTGAGAAATAGACTCAGCTTAAGAGACAAGCTTTGTTTTTGATGCTGCCATTTTAAAGCCACCTGTGGGCCGGGGATTTAGCTCAGCGGCACAAGCATCTGCCTGGCAAGTGCAAAGTCATGAGTTCAAACCCTTGTACCAAAAAATAAATAAATAAATAAAGCCAGCTATGGAGCTAAATTAATGAATTTGGGTTTTGGCAGTCATAAAACAGGGCATAGAGTCTTCTAAAGAAGGTTTGCTACAGTGAAAACTGTGTTTGGGGTTGAGTGCCTTTAAATTGACATTTCAGTTGGGTCATTTCTGAAGCTTTCCCTGATATTTTTAATAAAGAATTAGTCAGTGATGAAGTTGACTCATTTTAGGAGTAAGAATTCAGGACATTGTATTTTAAATTTGTTAATGTGTTTTCAAAACCTTTTGAGGGTAAACTGAGGTTTTGTGTACCTTAATGGCATTATAAAAGAGATCTTTTTATAATGCAGGTAATCATCCCCTAATTTATCTAGCAGTGAAATATGTACTTCTGGTGTAAAGTATACTTTTCATTATGTTGTTTAAATTTTTAAATGAAAGTTGCAGGTAAAAATTATGTTTTACCTGTACACTCTTGATTTGGGAAGATTTGAGAAAATTTGAAGTACCCTCTATTTAATCCAATAAACTTCATATACACACATAAGCTGTTACATTAAGTCTTAAAACTAACCCATTAAGCTTTTTTTCTTCCTGGCTTTGTAGTTTACTTCACCTCGCAGTGGTATCTTCTGAGTAAACCATCAGTCTGTGCTTAGTTAGCATGTGGTGAGTGGAGAATAACATGTCTTGTGTATTTGTGTAAAAATTAAATGTATTGATTGCTTGATACTAACCTTTCACTGGAATGCTCTTTTATTTAATTAACATATGATTATATTATGGATTGATATGATTTTCTGTTGCCTTAGATTCATAATATTTAATCCTTAATATTCACCCAAAGTGATCTTTAGATTTCTATTATTTGCTAAAATCATGCAATCAGATGCTTCTATTTTTCTCTTGCATAGTAAATAGTTTCAAATGAAATTTTTTGTGTATAAATATTCTGTTTAAAAACTAGGTGATTACCAAAAACCCTTTTATAGACACCTTTTCTTGAAAACTGAATGTATACAAATCACAGAGAACTGGCTGAACATTCTTTTAAACAAATTTGAATGTGCAATGTACAAATTAAAGATTGTGAGAGAAAATTAAAAGTAATTTTCTAGATTAAAGTGATATTTCATAAAATCAAGAATTGAAAATACTGTAAGGTTTAAAATCAAGACTAAATAGCTAAAATAATGAAAATCGATAAAGCTGTTTAAAAATAGGTACTTTATTATTTGCTGGGATCATACAGTTCTACATAACACATTTATTCAGGAGGTACTTAGCCTCCTGCAACTGATGTAGCTATTTTGATTAATACATTATTACAGTGGAACACAGCCATCTGAAAATGTTTTAATTCACTGTGTTCACTGTTTAAAGCCCCTTCCCTCATCTTCATATATTATTTTTGTGATTAGCTTGATTTAGCACCTCTTTAAACATTTAGGATGTATCTTTACCTCATAGTTTGCAAAAATTACAAGTGTTAGTCATAATTGAAGATTATGATTGTAGATTCAGCCAGTTTTCAGCTGATATATATCACGTCTTTTAAACTTTTAGCTTTACAAATCATCTATCCTTACAAGTCTTGATTTTAATATATATCATTTAATTTGCCTGTGTGATTTATCTAGAACTATCTTGTTTCTATTGTCTACATTATAATGGCTGGCAGAGTGGTACATGGTTCTATTGGGTTGGTTTTATAATAAATATATGCAAACTAAATCCTATATGTAATTCATTGTCTTAATATTTTATTTTTATATAATATCTCAAATACTGTATCACATTTATATTATTGAAGTTAAATATTATCATTTATCACAAGAAATTTATGCCGTGTAACACTTCTATCCATTAGCTAATTGTCGTCTCAACTTTTAGTTAGAAACATTTTAGACATGATTTGAAAAAAATCATACACTGAATCCCCATATACACTATGCCTGTATTAATTGTTAATATTTTGTTAATTTTTCTGTTCCTTAATCTCTGTCTCTACACACACATATATACACACACACACACACATACATACACACATACACAGAGTCTTTACCCTGTTTGTAACATTTGACAGTTATTTGCAAACATTGTGCTTACAAACATTTGACAGTTCTAAACATATACCAGTACATTAAAATATTCAAGAAAAATGGCATTTGTCTACAAATCTGCAGTATAATTATCACACATTGAAAAGAATATTCACATCATATCAAGGTTAAGGGGTGGTTAGCTCAATGATTGAGTACTAACCTAGCATGCACTAGACTCTAAGTTCAACCCTCAATAGCTCAAAGAAGTAAAGAAATACTATTATTAACTTATACTAAATTTTTTCCAGTTTTTCAAATAATGCCTTTCATAATTTTTTAAAATCCAGGATCCTCAAAGATTACACATTGCATCTAGTTATCATGTTCTTCCAATGTCTTAAAGTAGAGAAGTTCTCCCAGTCTTTTCATCTTCTATGATAGTGACATTAAGCCACATTGTCAGATAATTCATGAATTTTGTTTTCTCAGCAGGTCAAGCTGGGGTTTTAAAATAAAAATTGACAAAAGATTACATAATATAGCAGATTTTTAAAAATATTTTCTTTAGATTCCTAGCATCAATGTTATTGTTGAGCTACTTTATAAATAAAATGCTAGTTAGATTGTATCATGAACAATGGCTCCTATTGTTTATTTACAAATTGAGCAGACTTTAAAATTTTTCCCTTTCTGCTGAATATATATGACAAGTTTGTCTCTTTTACTTAATCTTACTTGGTAATCTGTTTTTATGACATTTTAAACTTCATACTCGATCAGACTGATAGCTTTTAGCATTTTAATATTCCAATCTGTTAGGTAAATTTTGCTTTGTTGCTTGTGGCATGTTTATTTTTTTAGTTAAGTTTATTAATTCTAGGTGAGGCTTAGGGTTTTACACTTCAATTTGCACACATCTTTTGCTGCGTATGTGTCATGCTAGGAGAATTGCCATATGTAGAAAAATCAACCCTTGGGAAAGTGGGAGGAACTCTTCTTCCCTACAAATCCAGTCTGAGTTGCAGTCTTTCTGTGGGAGCCTTCCATGTGAGCATGGCACTCCTGGATTTTTATATGACTATTTAGCATTTGGTACTTGGTGAAAAGTTGCAGTTCCAAATTTCCCTTTGAAAAGCTTTTTCCTTGGATTGCTGAGTATAGTTAGGATTCTCCCAAGAACCTGAATTTCCAGATCCTAAGATTCCCTTAGGATTTAATATTTAGAATACCATAGTTCTACTTTTGAACACTGCAGTGTTCAAACCAGAGAATACAATTTTATTTTAACTAGAAAAAGAAGCCAAAAGGTTGATCTTAAAAGGCTGATTTTTAAAAATATTTGTATTTTCTTTATTCTCACTTACTTTTTCTTTTCCAGTCATGGCTTCGATCTTCATCTTGAAGAAATGGGGAGAGTGATATTGGGCAACTGCTGCTTGGAAGACTGTCCTTGTATGTTCATTCATTCGAGAATGAAGATGTCATTTAGGGTTCTTCTTGTAGCCAGACGCAAAGCAAGATCTGACATTGGCCCATAGATATATTTTAGACTGCTTTTAAAAGAGATTTATTTTATTGATGGAGAAATGGTGATAGTTTTTTCCTTTTTTCTTCAGTTTTCTGTTGGGAAGAATTTTATGTCATTTGAAAGATATTTTGAATAACTCACCCTGATTTATCAGCTCAATTAATGTTCCTTTCATTCTTGTTTTCCCTCTTTTTAAAGAATTGCTTGCCTTATTTATTTTTACGGTGATTTTTCCCTCTCTTTTTAAAGATCTGTGCAATACATTTTGAGGTGAAACAGTGGATTTTTTCTAATAAATGATAGTATTTAATTGACTATGACCCAGATTGATTCTTGAATATTTGCTAAAGAGTAGTATTTAAGCTTTGACATATGATAAATCCCAAATGGCAGTACCTCATTGTTTACTTAGCTTTTGTACTTATATTTTTCAGAGCAAAAAATACTACTGTAAATTGTAAATAATCAATACAAATAGTATGCAAATCTGTGACTGTTGGCAGTGTCATCTTGGAGGAGCAGATAAATAAAGTTTTATTTACTATATAAAATTTCATTGTGCTTCTTTCTAGATTGAAATCTGTTTCAGATTTGTTAAGAATTCCATGTTCTATGTGGGGGGGAGTGCAGTGAAGAAATTTCAGGATATGTACATGCTGAGCAGTTGGAGATATTTTTTGTGTTCAGAATTAGCACCACCAAGTTAGAAAGAGTGTGGAAGGAGAAATAACCTGTGATGTCCATTTTAGGATTCTGCCAATTTGAGAATGCTTTCTTACTCTGGAGAAAACATACTTTGTTTGTTTAATAGTACTGAAGACTGAACCCAGGCATTTGCACTAAGCTATATCCTCAGTGGTCTTTTACTTTTTGTTTTGTGATAGGGTGTTATGGATTATATCTGGATGTCCCCAGAGAACCTCATGTGCTCAGAGGTAGAGTTTTTGGGAGTGGCTGCATCAAGGGTGTGTGTGATACTGGATTAGTCCACTGATTGGTTTAACATTATTTCTGGGTATCGACAATAAATTTACTCAAGAAGGAAGACCCATGTGGGTATGGTATGGGTGGCACTAACTAACAGGTTTATATTAGTTATAATGTGGATGAAAGAAAAAGGGAAAGAAGAAGCAATCTTGCTGCTGTCTACTTGGATGCCCTGAGCTCTTTCTCCTTTGCCATGACCCTCCCCATGAGCCTTGCCTTTAAACCAGCTAACTGTGGACTGAAACATCTGCAGACGGTGAAGTAAAGTAAACTGCCTTCACCTTTTTGTGGGTATCAGGTATTTTGTCCCAGCAACAAGGAAGGTAAGACACAAGGTCTCACTAAATTGCCCAGGCAACTTGTAATCTGCCTGCCTCAATGTCCCAGAGTGCTAGGATTACAGGAACGCACTACCATGCCCAGCTTCTTTGACTCATTTTAAACCTAAAAATTTCTGGACACCAAAATATGAGAATACTCAAAAGAGTTTCACGCAGCCTTCATATTCTAAAAAACACATTGGATACTATCTCTAGATACTTCACCTCTGCGCCAAGGTGGAATCTTATCCTGCCAGTCTGGATACTACCTCTGCTGGTTCATCTAATACTGTGATGGAGTGAAGAGTTCTGGGGAGGAGCTGTCCAAGGGGTTTACTCCTACCCCACTGCTGACTCCTTAGCAATTCTTAGAAAGGGTCTTCTTTTTTCTCCAGTCATATCTTCTTGAATTGGCAAAATGTTGCCCCTTTGAAAGGTTTCTGACAGCAGATACGACTTGTCCCTTTTTGTATCTTTTCCTAGGTTAGAAGTGTTGGCTTCCCAGTGAAATCCATGTATAACTTTCTGCAATTTCTCCTTAACCATATATGGAGACAACTATATCAAAAGATCAAGGATGAGCAAACCTTTTCTATGCAGTGCCAGACATTAACTATTTTTGTTCTTACAGGCCATATATTTGATGTTGCCACCACAACTCTTGGTGTAGTGCAGAAAGAGCCATCAATAATGCAGACATAAATGAGCTGTATAATGAATGAGCATAGCTTGGTTCCAGCTTTATAGAAACGGTGACAGCTACATTTTCCTTATATGCTATAGTTTGCCAACCACTGAGAAAGGAAACAAGTTACATTTTAAACATAGTGCCAGGAGGAATGACAGTCAATATAGAGCAGTTGGTTAGTTTTCTTCAGCGAAAATATGTAACTGCTGTTTCTGAAGAGTGCAGCAAGCTCACATCACCTTGTTGAAGAATAGTTGTGATACTCTCATATTACCTTTTCGTTCCAATAAGAAAGGATTACCTGCTCAGTATCAGTACTGTAGGCCCATCTGCAAGAACTTCTCCTGAAGGTCTCCAGTAACTGTGTCCCTGGTTGATAGCTAGGAAATGCCAAACTTTCCCCAAAAGTAGTTACAGGTTTGTTCTGGGTATTTACCACCTACTCCAACACTGATGACAGGATCAGCTGTAGGTAACAGAAAATGCTATGATCCCAGTGTATTCAGACACAGGCGCTGAAACCAAGGCTGTTCCAAGATACTGATACAATAAATATATAACCAAAAAACAAGCATTGAACTTTAAGCAGTGTTAGGTGCTAATAGGATGTCACTTTAGCAAACTTTGGCAAAAGTTTCACTGGGACTTGTAGATTCTGTGTTCTGGTCAGGTATATGTGAATATTGTTAGAGAATGTCTTCATTAACTGTTGCTGAATTAGACATCCCTAATAAAAGGATAAGAACGTTTTCCTGATTTTCTTATATATAAACGTGAACGTTTGCTTTTTTCAAAAATCAATTAGTCTTGTTGTAGAAAGAGGAGCATATTTGGCCTCTACGAACACTCATTCATTTTCTCTGCTTAGTTGTAGCTTCCTCATCCTTAGCAGCAAACTAGCAGCAAAATGAAAAAACCTTATTGTTTTGAGTCAAAGAAATAAAGGCTCCTCGTAAGTGAAGTTTCTGTTACATTAAAAATTTTAGAAAATTGACTAGCACAATTTAAAAAAAAAATAGTTCTGCAGAATACCCTATTTAAGGGAGTCTAGGAAGATGGCAGAGTGTTAAGCAGCAGAGTGAATCCAGTCCAGATGCTGGAATATAGCAATGTGAGGAAGACAAAGAGGAGAAAAGTGGTTGCTCTAGACCTCGGAAGAATCTGAAGCACAGATAGAAGCCCCAGAGAGAGTAAAGAGAGAAACTTCAGCAAAGAAGGAGGTAGTCAGTGGCATCTCCCTAACTGGAGTCGCTGCATGAGAGGAGTGGTTTGCACCTGCAGGCTCATGGTGACCCTGGAGGCTTCTGTGGAGAGATTCTGCAGTGACGAAGAGCAGTAGACATGAAGGACTGTTTCAGTATTGACTGATGTTAGGTGCGGGATTCTTGCTGTGGGAGGAAACAATTGACCTGGAGCCAACCTGGAGATGGGCAGCTTGAGACCAGAACTCAGAATCGGTTTTACTCCCTCTAGTGGCTACTAGAAGGACTCGGAACAGTGCTCGGAAGACTGCCAAATGTGACATCTCCAGAAAGTGTAGGCTCTCTGAGAGTACCACTACCCCGCAAAAAAAAAGGTACTGCTGGCTTGCTGGGATAAACCGACATGGGTTGGGACTCTGTCTCTGCAGGCTGTTTGCCAGTGAAGACGGAGACAAACCTGGAAGTAGATTTTTTTTTGTCTTCTCCCTCCTCATTCTCACATTCGTCTTTGATTTTTAGTTTTGGGGCTTTTTCTTTTTCTTTTCTTTCTTTCTCCTTCATTGTCTGATCTTATTTAAGTGTAAATGTGGTTTCTAGCCTCCCTGTGGCGCTTTTCTGTTTTTTTCCCCATCTCTTCCTTCTCTTTCTCTCCAGTCTACACTAGTTTCCCAAAGTAAGCATGATCCCCTTCATCCTCCAACCTTCTAATCTCTTGTTTTTCCAATTCTTTATTTTCTCCTTAAACTATATTAAATTTTAGCTCCCAAGAGCAAAATGGATATATCAATAGCATTATATATTGCATGTAAATTTCTGGTTTGTTTTACATCTTCTTATATAATCACAAATCTATAATGGTTAAAAGTGGTAAATTAAGGTTTAGCTCAATATGTCATTTTCTAGGCTGAGTTTGATGCTACAGCCAAAATTGACATAATCAAACAGCTGTTGGTCCTGGTATTTGATGACTGAGATTGACTGAGGGTCACAGAAAATACTGTGACATGGTGCCAGAATACCCTATTAAGAAATCATGTTACTGGCTTTGGTACAGTCAATCACAGAAATATTTTTCTAGTGTTTGAAGAGATGGGTGGATAAATGGGCTGTGTGTGGGTGGAAGAATAGGCAGTGTGTGTGTATATACATGCATACATTTATATTAAAATTCATACTTTATTTGAAACTGTCTTTAGTTGCTTGATTTATTCCAGGGATATACTATTTCTATACTGTGGAGCACTTAGCTTCTCGATAATCACTTTCATTATGTACTCTATGCCCCTGCAATAGGAAAATACTTGAACAAACAGTCCAGAACCATCCTGTTTTTCCTATAGCAGCCTTTGCTGCCAAATAAATGGAAACATTTCAGATTACTCTCTCAGGTTCACCATTTCCCCAGTGTTCCATGATTGACATATAGTGAAGACTCTAAGGCAGTACCTAATATGATCAAAATATGAGTTTAAATTTATTACAGTAAAAAACATTTCTATTAATACTGCCCAGATCTACTTTGCTTTGAACACAATTGTGTTCTTGCTAATTTCTGAAACAGTTAAGTAAGTCTATGAGGCGTTATCAAAAATATGGTTAACACTGGGGTCAAGTGTCATCCAAAGGAAGGGCAGGCGTGTTTCATATACCTTATCAATCGGGCCTGGCACAGTATGACTTCTGGTTCTTCCCAAAGTCAAAATGATCACAAAAGGTAAACATTTTTTTTAAGCAGAGACAACAACTGACATGACTGAGGCCACTGCCTTGGGAGAGAAACATGGTGGATGAGGACAACACCCTGGGAGACAGGGAAGTCCTAGAGACTTGGCAGCCCCAAGGAGAAATAAGGGACCCGGTCAGCAGTAACTGCCCCAAGAAAAAACCATGAAAACTACAAAAGCAGCATGGGGAGCAGAGTAGAAAGCCTCTCTGAGGAAAACAACTCAGACTCTAGAATTTAACACCATTGAGAAGACCAAAAGAAAGGAGAGAGATACTCATGACCCAGGAAGAAACTAAGGAAAAAGAAACAAAGGGAGGAAGGAAAAACGTGTATGAAAGACTGGAACCAGATGCACTGTCACTGAGGCCTGTCTTGCAATGTGCTGGGTGCACTTTGGAGTCTGATGATTCACGGTCGCGCTGAAGTCATGGCCGCCTAAATCAGGAGTTGGTGAGCCCAGGGCCCTTGGGGGGAGGATGCAGTGCAACAGAGAGTGGAACCAACATGGAGAGCTGCATTAATCTGTGGTGAGTGCAAGGAATTTGGTCCTGCAGCGGGGGTGACCAGCTGAACGACATATTGGAGTTGGGCAGGATGGGCCTGAACCGAGAACTGCAGTGGTGTCAGT